GGATTGATCGAATGAATTCCTTTTCCAGCTGCGCAACAAATGAACTTACCATCTTTTACAGCTACACCGTAATACTTATTATCAAATGGTATTTCGTTCTTGATTTGTTTGTGTTGTATGTCGATATTGTAATGTATTACTTGTCTGACTGTCCTGAGGTTACATTCAGTGTTTTTTTCTTCACTGTTGTAAGCTATGTCGCATGGATTTGTTGCTGTTCTCTCATCAAAATTTTTTGATCCGTCAGTTTTGAATATTCTGATATCTTTGTTTAAGTAATCTGCAAAGGTATTTCTACCATCAGGTAGCATGCAACAACCCCATGTCCGATTCACCATAGTATTTATAGTTTTATGCAGCATCACTTTTATATTTTCAACTGACTTAGGTGATATGTTCGGCATCATTATTTGGGCTTGATTGGCTTTCCTCCTTGTGAGGATGACATCGCACGGTTTCGTTTCAATTATTATTTCTTCAAAATTCTTGATATAGTTGTTGACATTTTGCATGGCGGCATTGGCATTATACGTCATTTCGAGGTCTTAAAATTTTTCGGTGTCAATCACTGCCATCAGGAATTCGTCTTTCCTTGTGACCTTTTTTTTCAGATCTTTTATAGAAATAAATTTCTGAAGATCTGTGGCATGTTGCTTGATACTTTTAATGTTTTTCCGGTATTCAGTTACCTCACTCTCTTCTTTTTTCAACAATTCCAGCTGTTTGCCAATTAACTTACTTTCCGTTTCTTCGGTTGCATTTAATTTTTTTAATATGTCAGCTTTTATTTTGTCTTAATGGTTGTTCAGTGTAATCCTTGTGTGTTCAATTTCTTGCTTGATCTGCTTTCTTTTCTTGGTTAACCTCTTCGTATTATTTTCTCGATCATTTCGAATTCTTTGAATATTGTTGGTTAGTTCTGCTAACGATTGTTCAATTTCATCAAAGGCATTTGCAAAGCTTATGTTTTGAATAATATCAGCCAGTTTGCCGAGGTCACGACATGCTAAGTGAGTTTCTACAATACAAATACCGCAGCAAAGACTTTCATGCTTTTTTGCAATAAATATTGAACTTCTCGTTATGCTTGGCACAGTTTTGAGTGATTTTGACAATATCACATGGTAATTTCTGGTACTCACTTATTGGTACGGTGGTATGCTTTCGTGTTCCCTTCGACAGACTGTGGTGGCTTTTGCATTCTAAACAAAGTCCTTCATCACATTCAAAACACCAGATCATGGATGGTATGGTTATATTGTTTTGATCACATATACCGCACACGGGTGTTGATGAGGCCATGTTTAACAATAACTACAAAAAATATAATTCAATTGTAACAGTTCTGTATTTTGACAATACTTTATATATATTCAGTCACTTATTAGAGGACACATCGAATGTGTACTGCTCAATTCATTAAAGAAGAAAATCTTTGCTTAAAACGCCTTAGCAAATAGATTTTTTTTTGTTTTTAATTGTGTTGTTGCTACATTCAATTCTGCAGCAAAAACAATCTTAATCAACTATAACGGACAATTATAAATCGGATTGAAATTATATGAAAAATAAACAGTAATCAGACTGGTATATACAAGAAACAGTCATACATTTGCATTCAAAGTGGATCTAATAAATTCCATTTATTTGCATTAGCTATTGACTTATTACAATTTTTTTATGGTTATTAGTGTTATAAACTAATAGGGGCAACTTTATAATTTTGAACTCAAACTTTTCAAAATATTAATAGTTTATAAATAGCCTATACGTGCATCGTTCTTAACTGACGAACAAATGTTCTGTACAATTATTTACATTTCAGCCATATCAATTAAGAATATTCATTTCTAAAATACAAATGAAAGTTGGCATATCGGGTAATTAATTAATTGGTAATCGATCTTCAACACATATCTTATAAAGATATTGATCTGATTTAAAGCAGCAATCTAACATTGAATAATAATTTAATGAAACGCATATTTAAGTGGAATTTGTGACTACTAAAGATTATAGAGGTAACACTACTTAATCATGATACATAAATGCAAAGGGAATTAACTGTTACTCTTTTGATTTGGCTACATGTATCATGCATTTCTTTTTTTTTTTGTATTCTCATTCACATTCTCCATAAAAAGCTACATATTTGAATGGCAACTGATATTCAATAGTATATTTCAATATATGTCTTTTACTGCTTAATGTTATATATAATTGTAATATATATTTAATTTAATTACCAGTTTTTATCAGGACTTGAATTACTCCAAATTCACAACCAAAATGGGAAGTTATCTTTCCGGTTCAAAAAAAAGGTATGCAACCAAAACTTAATAATATATTGTTTGTTTTAACTTATTATATTATTTTATTTACAGTTGAGTGGTTCATCAATGTTTTAATATATTCTGTAAAACAATATTTAAAAAATAACTGTTTTACATACCTCTGTTAACTAATAACGCATTACGACAATTCTCTCAATGATTTCTATATAATTTTCTTTGCCATTTTTCACCAAAAATATCCTTATATGTAACGTTTTTTTCCGTATATATACATGTGTTCCCCTTGCACATATTAAAACCTTTTAAACGAATTTTCGTCAGTGACCAAACGCAATTGAGATTATGACAAGAATCACAATAGGTTTATTATATCCCGTAATTTTTCCCATACAGCAATTGATATCTGGTATTACTTAGTTTATGGTTGATAGCGAAAACTGTTGTTAATAGAGAAACATTTGGGGAAGAGGCCATCTTCTCACATCAAGAGAGGCAAATTTTAAGATAAGGTCATATTTCGGCTAAAAACGTTCTCAAAAAAATTGTCATCATTCCATTCAAATATTCCGTCTCTAAAAAAAATTTTGAAGATGAAATATTTTACAATGACATTTTTTTTTGGTATAAAATTTTGTTTCAGTTTCTGATAACCGATATTCGTATTAAATGAGATATGGTTCATGTATGTGTACAGTGGCTTTAACCTCTATTTTGTCATCAATATCAACTAATGAAAATGAAGCCAAAATGTACATTTGAACAAAAGGTTCAAGTGGTGAAGTTGAAATTGTTATTGACGTCGTCACGAATTCGTTGACCGTTATGAGATATTTGTTCCACAGATGACGACGATGTTCAAATTGTCGTAACCATAATCCGTTCTCTTTTCCTCTGACCTACCAAAAAAAGTGTAACATAAATACCGTAATCTAAGGTAAACTCACAAAGGGAAAGTCCATAAAAACTGACAAAATCAAACGCTAGACTCTATCAACAAACGAAACGAATGAAAAACAGCTGTCATATTCCTGACTTGGTACAGGCATTTTCCGACGAAAATATTGAGTTTAACTTGGTTTTAGAGCTACAGGTAGCTCAAACTCCGACATGTATGACAACTGTTATAGTTCCGTTAAATTGACAAAATTGGGGGAATAACCAAAACAGACATAATGAGACTTATAACGGGGTTTGTACTTACATTATCATCACGACGGGTGCCTAATGTTGAAAAGGATCTGCTTACCCTTCCGAAGCACCTGGTGTCAACTCCGATTTTGTGTCGAGTTCGTGTCATGGCATTATCAGTTTGTGTTCGACTTATCAGTTTGAGTATCCCTTTTCGTATCTTTTACTTTAAAAAAAAAAAGAATTGAGAAAAATAGCAAACAGATTTGACGGATCCTTATATGTAACTGCTACTGATATTTCTATAGTTTCAGCTATTATAAAATCAGATGAACCATTAAAAAGTAAAGCAAACTCTAAAAAATAATTTACTGAGGACGCTGAGAAGCCGTATCTGTCAATTCATAAGGACAGGCCCAACATGAAAAGATTGGACACTGTATTCCTCAGCATCACCACAAGCACTGAATTATCACAAGAACATCGAATCTAAATGTTAAACAATAGGACATCAAACAATAATCCTATACATGATTTTTCTGAAAATGAAAATTTGCAAAATGTTAAAAAAATCATAATAATAACGTTTTCACGACGATTGTCTCCCTTATATTTTAACTTTGAACAATTGATCAAAAGAAAAAAAAATGAGTGTTTCAACCATATTGATATAACAAAATACTCAACGAATGTATGGCGTTAAATATAATAATATTACAAAGCTTACATACCGAGTTAATCCCTCAAACGAGTAAATTGTACGCAGATTTTGAAATACTTCAATTCTTCCTTCGTGACAGTAAACAGCGGTTAAATGTATCGACAGGTGAAGCTTGTAATGATAATGATGATGATTCATAGATTGTGTATTGTCCTACACAGAAAATTAATCATCGGATGGTATATAATAACTCATCAGAATGTTTATATACGATTAGCAAGTGCAATTGGCGGTATTTTTATAAGTGGTTGATTAATAAGGTAAATAAAAAGAAAAATATGTTAATGAAAGCTTATTTCGAGTGAATGATAAAAAATTTGAAAAACTCTTACTAGCGTACTGCTCTCACACTTTATAAATTGAAAATCTTAAAAGACGATTTATATGCATACGTCAATGATTATGGCATTACGAAAAGAAAGGACTCTGAAGAAGAATTGCTAAAAAAGGGGTTAAGTAACTTGCACTTGTTGCAGTTTTAAAAAGGATATTAAATCTTGTACTTCGATTACACATTTCCGCTAAACACTCGGTTAAATATAAAAACAAAGGATGGCTCATCTAACGTCATATCAGAATTATTAACATCGATTGCAAACTAAGGGGAAACATAAACTCTTATCTGAAATATTTGTTTAATAAACCCAGGATGAATTTTTTAGTGTGTTGTTTGTCTGTGATGTATGTTTACACAGTTTTGAATTGATGGCTCCCGATTGCTGTCAAATAAATCTAGTATGTCTGTTGGGGTTGCTTACCTAATTTTGTCAATATAACGGAACTATGAACAACTGTCATACAATTGTGAGGTTAAGCTAACTATAAAACCAGGTTTAACACCCCATTTTATCCGGAAAATGCCTGTACTAAGATAAGAATATGGCAGTTGTTTTACACTTGTTCTGTTGATTGACAGCATTTGATTTTGTCAGTTTGTATACACTCCCCCTTGTTGAAATTGCCTTGAAGTTCACTTTTTTTGTTATACTTTTTTACATGTATGCATGTTCCAGTTACACTTGTATCAAAAGTGTGAAATCAGGATTTCCGTACATTGTGAGTCTGCTACTGGTTGGTTGTTGCACGTTGGTGCATTAATAAAAAAATTTAGGTAAAAATAAGACCAAAAACATTTTCAGTACAAAAGTAACATTTTAAGAAGAAAAAAGCATAAAAAAGACACCACACAACGTAAAGACATCACTACAGAACGTAAATACATCACTTCAGAACATAAAGACATCACTACACAACGTAACGCCTTCACTACACAACATCAAGCCATTACTACAGAACGTAAATACATCACTTCAGAACGTTAAGACATCACTATAGAACCTAAAGACATCACTAGAGAAAATACAAACACCACTACACAACGTAAAGACATCACTTCAAAACGTGAAGACATCACTACACAACGTAACGACTTCACTACACAACATAAAGCCATCACTGCAGAACGTAAAGACATCACTACAGAACGTAAAGACATCACTACACACCGTTAAGACATCACTACAGAACGAAAAGACATCAATACAGAAAATACAGATATCACTACAGAACGTAAAGATATCACTACAGAACGTAAAGACATTACTACATAACGTAACGACAAAACTACAGAACGTAGAAACATCACTACAGAACATAAGGACATCACTCCACAACGTAAAGATATCACGACACAACTTAAATTTAGAACGTAAAGACATTACTAAAGAACATATACACATCAATACACAACGTAAAGACATCACTACACAACGTTAAGGCATCACTACACAACGTAAAGACATCACTACACAACATACAGACATCACTACACAACGTGACGACATCACTACAGAACGTAAAGACATCACTACACAACGTCATGACTTCACTACACAACGTAAAGACATCACTACACAACATAAAGAAATCACTACACAACGTGAAGACATCACTACAAAACGTGAATACATCACTACAGAACGTAATGACATCACTACAGAACGTAAAGACATCACTACAGAACCTAACAACAACACTACAGAACGTTAAGACATCACGATAGAACGTAAAGACATCACTACAGGACTTCAAGACATCACTACAGAAAGAAAAGACATCACTATAAAACGTAAATACTTCACTACACAACGTAAAGATATCACTACAGAACCTAAAGACATCATTTAGAACGTAAAGACATCACAACAGAACATAAAATCATCACTACAGAACGTTATGACTTCACTACACAATATAAAGCTATTACATCAGAACGTAAAGACATCACTACACAACGTAACGACATCACAACACAACGAAAAGGCAACACTACACAACGTAAAGACATCACTACACAACATACATACATCACTACACAACGTAACGACATCACTACAGAACGTAAAGACATCACTACACAACGTAAAGACATCAACACACAACGTCATGACTTCACTACACAACGTAAAGACATCACTACACAACATAAAAAAATCACTACACAACGTAAAGAGATCACTACCAAACGTAAAGACATCACTACAAAACGTAAAGACATCACTACAGAACCTAACAACAACACTACAGAACGTTAAGACATCACGACAGAACGTAAAGACATCACTACAGGACTTAATGTCAATACAGAACCTGAAGACATCATTTAGAACGTTAAGAAATCACTTCAGAACCTACAGACATCACTATAGAACGTAAAGACATCACTACACAACGTAACGACTTCACTACACAACATAAAGCCATTACTACAGAACGTAAGACATCACTACAGAACGTAAAGACATCACTACACAACGTAACGCCTTCACTACACAACATAAAGCCATTGCTACAGAACGTAAGACATCACTACAGAACGTAAAGACATCACTTCAGAACGTAAAGATATCACTACACAACTTAAAAACATCACTTTAGAACGTAAAGACATTACTACAGAACGTATACACATCACTACACATCGTAAAGGCATCACTACACAACGTAAAGACATCACTACACAACACACAGACATCACTACACAACGTAACGACATCACTGCAGAACGTAAAGACATCACTACACAACGTCATGAATTCACTACACAACGTAAAGACATCACTACACAACATGAAGAAATCACTACACAACGTGAAGACATCGTTACAAAACGTAAATACATCACTACAGAACGGAATGACATCACTACTAAACGTAAAGACATCACTACAGAACATAACAACAACACTACAGAACGTTAAGACATCACGAGAGAACGTAAAGACATCACTACAGGACTTGATATCACTACAGAACCTGAAGACATCATTTAGAACGTAAAGACATCACTACAGAACCTACTGACATCACTATAGAACGTAAAAACATCACTACACAACGTAACGACTTCACAACACAAATTAAAGCCATTACTACAGAACGTAAGACATCACTACAGAACGTAAAGACATCACTTCAGAACGCAAAGACATCACTTCACAATTTTAAAACATCACTACACACCGTAAAGACATCAATTCAGAACTAACGAAATCATAACAGAAGCTAAAGACATCACTACAGAACGTAAAGACGTCACTACAGAACTTAAAGACATCACTACAGAACTTAAAGACATCACTTCTAAATGTTAGAACATCATTACAGAACCTAATGACATCACTACACAACGTAACGACTTTACTACACAACATAAAGTCATTACTACAGAACGTAAGACATCACTACAGAACGTAAAGACATCACTTCAGAACGTAAAGATATCACTATACAACTTAAAAACATCACTTTAGAACGTAAAGACATTACTACAGAACGTATACACATCACTACACAACGTAAAGACATCACTACACAACGTAAAGGAATCACTACACAACGTAAAGACATCACTACAGAACGTAAAGACATCACTACACAACCTAAAGACATCACTACAGAAAATACAAACATCACTACACAACGTAAAGACATCACTTCAAAACGAAAAGACATCACTACACAACGTAACCACTTCATCACAAAACATAAAGCCATCACTACAGAACGTACAGACATCACTACAGAACGTAAATAAATCAGTACAGACCGTTAAGACATCACTACAGAACCTAAAGACATCACTACAGAAAATACAAACATCACTGCACAACGTAAAGACATCACTTCAAAACATAAAGACATCACTACACAACGTAACGACTTCACTACACAACATAAAGCCATCACTACAGAACGTAAAGACATCACTACAGAACGTAAATACATCACTACAGACCGTTAAGACATCACTACAGAACGAAAAGACATCAATACAGAACATACATACATCAATACAGAACGTAAGGAAATTACTACATAACGTAACGACAAAACTACAGAATGTAGAAACATCACTACAGAACGTAAGGACATCACTCCACAACGTAAAGATATCACTACACAACTTAAAAACATCACTTTAGAACGTAAAGACATTACTACAGAACGTATACACATCACTACACAACGTAAAGACATCACTTCACAACGTAAAGGCATCACTACACAACGTAAAGACATCACTACACAAGACATTAAGACGTTAAGACATCACGAGAGAACGTAAATACATCACTACAGGACTTGATATCACTACAGAACCTGCAGACATCATTTAGAACGTAAAGACATCACTACAGAACCTACAGACATCACTATAGAACGTAAAGACATCACTACACAACGTAACGACTTCACAACACAAATTAAAGCCATTACTACAGAACGTAAGACATCACTACAGAACGTAAAGACATCACTTCAGAACGTAAAGACATCACTTCACAATTTTAAAACATCACTACACACCGTAAAGACATCAATTCAGAACGTAACGAAATCATAACAGAAGCTAAAGACATCACTACAGAACGTAAAGACGTCACTACAGAAGTTAAAGACATCACTACAGAACTTAAAGACATCACTTCTAAATGTTAAGACATCACTACAGAACGAAAAGACATCAATACAGAACATACATACATCAATACAGAACGTAAAGAAATTACTACATAACGTTACGACAAAACTACAGAATGTAGAAACATCACTACAGAACGTAAGGACATCACTCCACAACGTAAAGATATCACTACACAACTTAAAAACATCACTTTAGAACGTAAAGACATTACTACAGAACGTATACACATCACTACACAACGTAAAGACATCACTTCACAACGTAAAGGCATCACTACACAACGTAAAGACATCACTACACAAGACATTAAGACGTTAAGACATCACGAGAGAACGTAAATACATCACTACAGGACTTGATATCACTACAGAACCTGCAGACATCATTTAGAACGTAAAGACATCACTACAGAACCTACAGACATCACTATAGAACGTAAAGACATCACTACACAACGTAACAACTTCACAACACAAATTAAAGCCATTACTACAGAACGTAAGACATCACTACAGAACGTAAAGACATCACTTCAGAACGTAAAGACATCACTTCACAATTTTAAAACATCACTACACACCGTAAAGACATCAATTCAGAACGTAACGAAATCATAACAGAAGCTAAAGACATCACTACAGAACGTAAAGACGTCACTACAGAAGTTAAAGACATCACTACAGAACTTAAAGACATCACTTCTAAATGTTAGGACATCATTACAGAACCTAATGACATCACTACACAACGTAACGACTTTACTACACAACATAAAGCCATTACTACAGAACGTAAGACATCACTACAGAACGTAAAGACATCACTTCAGAACGTAAAGATATCACTATACAACTTAAAAATATCACTTTAGAACGTAAAGACATTACTACAGAACGTATACACATCACTACACAACGTAAAGACATCACTACACAACGTAAAGGAATCACTACACAACGTAAAGACATCACTACAGAACGTAAAGATATCACTATACAACTTAAAAACATCACTTTAGAACGTAAAGACATTACTACAGAACGTATACACATCACTACACAACGTAAAGACATCACTACACAACGTAAAGGAATCACTACACAACGTAAAGACATCACTACAGAACGTAAAGACATCACTACAGAACCTAAAGACATCACTACAGAAAATACAAACATCACTACACAACGTAAAGACATCACTTCAAAACGAAAAGACATCACTACACAACGTAACCACTTCACTAAAAAACATAAAGCCATCACTACAGAACATAAAGACATCACAACAGAACGTAAATACATCACTACAGACCGTTAAGACATCACTACAGAACCTAAAGACATCACTACAGAAAATACAAACTTCACTGCACAACGTAAAGACATCATTTCAAAACATAAAGACATCACTACACAACGTAACGACTTCACTACACAACATAAAGCCATCACTACAGAACGTAAAGACATCACTACAGAACGTAAATACATCACTACAGACCGTTAAGACATCACTACAGAACGAAAAGACATCAATACAGAACATACAGACATCAATACAGAACGTAAAGAAATTACTACATAACGTAACGACAAAACTACAGAATGTAGAAACATCACTACAGAACGTAAGGACATCACTCCACAACGTAAAGATATCACTACACAACTTAAAAACATCACTTTAGAACGTAAAGACATTACTACAGAACGTATACACATCACTACACAACGTAAAGACATCACTTCACAACGTAAAGGCATCACTACACAACGTAAAGACATCACTACACAAGATACAGACATCACTACACAACGTAACGACATCACTATAGAACGTAAAGACATCACTACACAACGTCACGACTTCACTTCACAACGTAAAGACATCTTTACACAACATAAAGAAATCACTACACAACGTGAAGAAATCACTACAAAACGTAAATACATCACTACAAAACGTAATGAAATCACTACAGAACGTTAAGACATCACTACAGAACGTTAAGACATCACGATAGAACGTAAAGACATCACTACAGGACTTCAAGACATCACTACAGAAAGTAAAGACATCACTATAAAACGTAAAGGAATCACTACACAACGTAAAGACATCACTACAGAACGTAAAGACATCACTACAGAACCTAAAGACATCACTACAGAAAATACAAACATCACTACACAACGTAAAGACATCACTTCAAAACGAAAAGACATCACTACACAACGTAACCACTTCACTAAAAAACATAAAACCATCACTACAGAACGTAAAGACATCACTACAGAACGTAAATACATCACTACAGACCGTTAAAACATCACTACAGAACCTAGAGACATCACTACAGAAAATACAAACATCACTGCACAACGTAAAGACATCATTTCAAAACATAAAGACATCACTACACAACGTAACGACTTCACTACACAACATAAAGCCATCACTACAGAACGTAAAGACATCACTACAGAACGTAAATACATCACTACAGACCGTTAAGACATCACTACAGAACGAAAAGACATCAATACAGAACATACAGACATCAATACAGAACGTAAAGAAATTACTACATAACGTAACGACAAAACTACAGAATGTAGAAACATCACTACAGAACGTAAGGACATCACTCCACAACGTAAAGATATCACTACACAACTTAAAAACATCACTTTAGAACGGAAAGACATTACTACACAACGTATACACATCACTACACAACGTAAAGACATCACTTCACAACGTAAAGGCATCACTACACAACGTAAAGACATCACTACACAAGATACAGACATCACTACACAAAGTAACGACATCACTACGGAACGTAAAGACATCACTACACAACGTCACGACTTCACTTCACAACGTAAAGACATCACTACACAACATAAAGAAATCACTACACAACGTGAAGAAATCACAACAAAACGTAAATACATCACTACAGAACGTAATGAAATCACTACAGAACGTAAAGACATCACTACAGAACGTTAAGACATCACGATAGAACGTAAAGACATCACTACAGGACTTCAAGACATCACTACAGAAAGTAAAGACATCACTATAAAACGTAAATACATCACTACACAACTAAAAGATATCACTACAGAACCTAAAGACATCATTAAGAACGTAAAGACATCACAACAGAACCTAAAGACATCACTACAGAACTTAATGACTTCACTACACAACACAAAGCCATTACATCAGAATGTAAGACATCACTACACAACGTAACGACATCACTACATATCGAAAAGGCATTACTACACAACGTGAAGACATCACTACACAACATATAGACATCACTACACAACGTAACGACAACACTACAGAACGTTAAGACATCACGACAGAACGCTAAGACATCACTACACAACGTAAAAACATCAACACACAACGTCATGACTTCACTACACAACGTAAAGATATCACTACACAACATAAAGAAATCATTACACAACGTGAAGACATCACTACTAAACGTAAAGACATCACTACAAAACGTAAAGACATCACTACAGAACCTAACAACAACACTACAGAACGTTAAGACATCACAACAGAACGTAAAGACATCGCTACAGGACTTAATATCACTACAGAACCTGAAGACATCATTTAGAACGTAAAGACATCACTACAGAACCTACAGACATCACTATAGAACGTAAAGACATCACTACACAACGTAACGACTTCACTACACAACATAAAGCCATTACTACAGAACGTAAGACATCACTACAGAACGTAAAGACATCTCTTCAGAACGTAAAGACATCACTTCACAACTTAAAAACATCACTACACAACGTAAAGACATCACTTCACAACTTAAAAACATCACTACACAACGTAAAGACATCACTACAGAACGTGACGAAATCATAACAGACGCTAAAGACATCACTACAGAACGAAAAGACGTCACTACAGAACTTACAGACATCACTACAGAACTTAAAGACATCACTTCTAAATGTTAGGACATCATTACAGAACCTAATGACATCACTACAGAACGTAAAGGCATCACTTTCGAACGTAAAGACATCGCTTCAGAACGTTACGAAATCACTACAGAACGAAAAGACATCACTACAGAACCTAACAACAACACTACAGAACGTTAAGACATCACGATAGAACGTAAAGACATCACTACAGGACTTCAAGACATCACTACAGAAAGTAAAGACATCACTATAAAACATTTATACATCACTATACAACGTACAGATATCACTATAGAACCTAAAGACATCATTAAGAACGTAAAGACATCACAACAGAACCTAAAGACATCACTACAGAACGTAAAGACATCACTACAGAACCTAACAACAACACTACAAAACGTTAAGACATCACGATAGAACGTAAAGACATCACTACAGGACTTCAAGACATCGCTACAGAAAGTAAAGACATCACTATAAAACGTAAATACATCACTACACAACGTAAAGATATCACTATAGAACCTAAAAACATCATTTAGAACGTAAAGACATCACAACAGAACCTAAACACATCACTACAGAACATAATGACTTCACTACACAACATAAAGCCATTACATCAGAACGTAAGACATCACTACACAACGTAACGACATTACTACACAACGAAAAGGCATCACTACACAACGTAAAGACATCACTACACAACATACAGACATCACTACACAACGTAACAACATCACTGCAGAACGTAAAGACATCACTACACAACGTAAAGATATCACTACACAACATAAAGAAATCACTAAACAACGTGAAGACATCACTACTAAACGTAAAGACATCACTACATAACGTAAAGACATCACTACAGAACCTAACAACAACACTACAGAACGTTAAGACATTACGACAGAACGTAAAGACATCATTACAGGACTTAATATCACTACAGAACCTGAAGACATCATTTGGAACGTAAAGACATCACTACAGAACCTACAGACATCACTATAGAACGTAAAGACATCACTATACAACGTAACGACTTCACTACACAACATAAAGCCATAACTACAGATCGTAAGACATCACTACAGAACGTAAAGACATCACTACAGAACCTAACAACAACACTACAGAACGTTAAGACATCACGACAGAACGTAAAGACATCATTACAGGACTTAATATCACTACAGAACCTGAAGACATCATTTAGAACGTAAAGACATCACTACAGAACCTACAGACATCACTATAGAACGTAAAGACATCACTATACAACGTAACGACTTCACTACACAACATAAAGCCATTACTACAGATCGTAAGACATCACTACAGAACGTAAAGACATCACTTCAGAACGTAAAGACATCACTTCACAACTTTAAAACATCACTACACAACGTAAAGACATCACTACAGAACGTAACGAAATCATAACAGAAGCTAAAGACATCACTGCAGAACGTAAAGACGTCACTGCAGAACTTAAAGACATCACTACAGAACTTAAAGACATCACTTCTAAATGTTAGGACATCATTACAGAACCTAATGACATCACTACAGAACGTAAAGGCATCACTTTCGAACGTAAAGACATCGCTTCAGAACGTTACGAAATCACTACAGAACAAAAAGACATCACTACATAACGAAAAGATTTCACTACACAACGTAACGACATCGATTCATAATGTAAAGTTATCAATACACAACGTAACGACTTCATTACACAACATACAGCCATCACTACACAACGTAACGAAATCACTACAAATCGTAGAGATATATCAGTACAGAACGTTACGACATCACTACAGAACCTAACGACATCACTACACAACATAAAGACATCACTACACAACGTAACGACTTCTCTACACAACATAAAGCCATCACCACAGAACGCAATGACATCACTACAGAACGTAACGACATAATCACAAAAGGAACAATGCGCTAGGAAAGATAAAAAGACCAACCATAAAGGCAAAGCCTCATATCGTTAAAAGATAAAACTACAAAACTTAAATACTTAACTCTTGATCTTAAAGATAAAACTTCAAAATGTAAAGACAAAACCCTATTGCTGCAAACAATGAAGTATATACAATGTCATGAGACAGTCCAAGATAAACAAATACACCTCTTTGAAAGCTTAAATAGTAGTTTTACTAGATTGTAAGTCCTTCAAGATATTTTATATTTCAAATCAAAACAAAACATATAGTTAAGAGAAGTGGCTGATAAAAAGAATAATGTTAAATAATTTTTTTATTCTGACTTCATCAGCTCGAATATCATCTCGCCCTTACTGGTTCCCTCTATGTTCTTGCTGATGAGATTAATGTCAATAACGAAAATGCCATTATATAATTGTCCTTTATAATGCATCGTTCCACAAACACCATATACCGGTATGTCACATGGTTCATAGTTCGTGTTGCTCAGTCCTTAGTTTTCTATGTGTGTTTTGTGTATTGTTGTTTGTCTTTTCGTCGTTAATCGTTAATTTGCCATGACATTGACAGTTTGTTTTCGACTACTGAGTTTGAATATTCCTTTGATATCTTTGGCCTCTCTTTGAATATTGCCAGCTTGCTAAACTCAGAGATTGTCCACCTCGGCCATAATACAAGGGGCAGAGGTAGACTACCTCTAAATAACACGTGCCACTGATACACAATAACTTCAAGGTATGGCTGCATGAGTAGGGTGGGATAGAGTAGGATGGTATCTATGATGAATTTATTTACAACAGCTGGGTCGATGACACTGCCGGTGGAGGTTTCCAGTACCGTCAGCTCTTCTGTGTTGACATGAATTATCATTGATATGGTCATAATTATAAATGTACTGTTTAAAAAACATTGCATTTTTCTAAATACTAAGGATTTTCTACCCAAGGAAATTATAACAATATCTGTATTGGACAAAACCATTCGGAATGTCGGGTCATGAATGCTCTTCAACTCAATTTAAAGTTTATTTTCAATTGATATTCAAAAAACTGCACAAACACAAGCTCTAGTGAGCTTTTCAAATTGACTGAATAACAAAATATATACACTCATACAAAAGTCATGAAAATAACATCATTTTAAGCATACAGTAAATGGTAAGATACTATAGATGACATATAAAAGTTTAATGCATAGTATGCAAAATTGAGTATATCTCAAAACATGGCATTAGTAAGAATGATAAGCACAGCAGATGATAGCAACTAAAAAAGCTAAAGCAATCAAACAGTAAAACAAAATCAAAAATAAAGAAGCACAAGTAGAAAAGCACTATACACATGCACCGCATTGGCATGAGCTGTTATTGGGATGTACCAATTTTTTTAATTGGTTACACTCCAGATTTGGCAGCATTATAGAGAAACGATCTCAAACCATATTATAATTTTGTAGTTCTAAATCTCGGGAGTACGAGCTGCTTTCTACTATATTTTGTTTCTTTAAAAACGTTTTTGATTCGAGCGTCGCTGATGAGTCTTTTAATGACGAAACGCGCATCTGGCGTGCATAATTTAAATCCTGGTATCTATAATGAGTTTATTTATATTTCTTTTTTTTGGGGGGAGGAGGGGTTAGGGGAGTGGGTTTTATGGTGGAAGGTTTCATTTGTTTCTTTGACATATCGGTAAGCTAATTTTTTGAAATCGATCGCTAATTCGTTTTGGAAGCTTCGTTCATTTTTCTATAATTAGTGACGTTTTAAAAAACCGGTAATTAATCTTTTAAACGAATGATTGGACTGCAGAGGAAACATAAACCGGATACAAGTATAAATATTTGACCGGACAACGAAAATTGCATGTGGTCATATTGCAAAGAGAATTTCGCCTACGTATCAATTAATCTGAACAAATGACATGAATGAGCAGAATACGATTTAACTATTCAATTGGGCCAAACTTAAAAAGAATACATTGTCTCTTATACAAAATTGGTATAGAATATGCTCAAAATATATATCAAGAGAATTGTAAATATACGTTGTATCTTAAATAACTTTTAGTAGATCATTGCGCGCAAATAATCAATGACTACACTAATTTATAGTAATAGAAATAAATCGGCTGTTTTGTTTTTATAAAACGTTGGCCCTAACCGACTTTTGTACAGAAGATTCATCATAATCTTTGGTTTAATTGATTGAATATTTTTAAATCGAATAAATTCTAATATATCATACTTTTATTCATATTTGTAATAATTTTTTTGTTGATTGATGGATCGATAATGGAAGCATCGACTTGAAATATTATTACTTCAAAACAAGTTTATTATTCAGTAAAGACGATTTGAATTAGTTAAGCAAAATCTGTCCAGATTTCATAACAAAACCAATGAAACTTTTGTTTTATCTAGAAAAGTCTACCACAAGACCGAATGAGGCACAAGATTACTACTAACCTTTCAAATAAATTGATAATTAAAACGACTTCAGGGTAAATGCTATTGTAAGCAATTTTTTCACTTATATTAAAAAGAATTGATAACTTGACAATCAAATAGTCAAATTGATTTGAACAGTGATGCTAGGATTGCATATAAAACAGACGATGGATTTGGACATTTTCTTTTTCTGTACGACTGCAATCATTTTCACAACTGCAGCAGGAACCTGACATCAACATCGTATGATAAGCAAGACTTTTACATACTAGTACTTGGTATCGTATCTTAATACACTGAATTCTTCTTAGGTAAACAATGTGTAATAATTTTCTAATGAAACGGATTTGAAATAAACGTGAACGATTCAATGACCGTCCGAACAAAAGTCAAAGATCTTTTTAAATATACGGTCTCAAACGATAAAAAGAAATAAATATAAAAATATTGGGTGTGGAATGAATGCCAAGGATACAACTATCACCAGCTGTAAATGTAAGCTGTAACAGGCAACCGTACGGCCGTTGGCTGTAAAAGCCGACGTTTACTTTGATAATATGAATATGTCCGCTCACAAATCAGACGCGTGTTCAACCGACCTTGCTTTTTTTTTCTTCTTTTTTTTTTTACCATCTCATTGTCTAAGAATCGGAAACAGCAATATCAAACACAAACTTATTATATAAATACAATACATATTATATTAAATAAGACAATTTTTATAAAAGATAATGTGTACGATCGTTGGAAACAAGTAAGCCTCGGCGAGCTTTTCTCCTATTTCGTAATAAAAATAGAAAAAAAATGTTCTCCTATTTCGTAAGAGAAAAAAATATATATTCTCCGATAATAAAGGTATTATATTTCTATTCTACAATTAACAATTGAGGCTTCATTTTCATTTGATTTTTTTGGGGTTTTTTTTGTTTTGTTTTTTACTTCACTTTTTCATGATATCTACATTGAGATGGTTGAGCGATCAGACAACTGTTCAACGGATAATAGTACAAAAAATATGGGAACATTGCTAATTATACAATTTGTGTCGGTTTTCAAAGCATTAAGAAGTATTAATCAAATAAAGTGGCAGTTTTCGTTATCCTGATAATTCGCACAAATCAAAGTTATATCATTATAATTTTCTTTGTTTAAATATACCGCGAATATCACTTGATTATTGTATAAATATTATAGAGATAAACGTCATAACAAATCATGTGATACATTTACCTATTGTTTACCTTCCTGCTGGAATTTCTATTTCTACAGTCGTTTTACTCCTTTAAACTAATAACTTCGTATGTATGCTATGTTATATTATGTACATCTAACATGTTAATTAACAACAGAAAATATTATTGTGGTGGATATGTCCAATTTGCTTTTGTTTAAATAATATGTTCAAAGGTATAATACAACATGTACAAGGGAGATAATGGTCATCAACCTGTAATCGTCTAAACCTCGTGAACATCTGGCATAGTTGGTAATATTTTTTTAGATAAAAGTTGTCCTTTTCATAACTCATCTCAAGCATTTAACATTTAATGACAAGTAACATTATTATGGTTGATACATCCATTCGTTTTTAGATTATGGAATAATTTGTTCAAAGTTAGAGGACGACCATTTCATTCTGAAAGAGCAGTGCTTGAAAATTTAATATAGTCAAAATACTTATTTCTAATTTAAAGCCGACCAGACTATTTTTGTTTTACTCTCAGAACAGGGCATTATTATTATTTATTAAAATTTATTTTCTGTTCGTCCAAAAAGTAATACAACAACTTCCCCCACCCCTTACAGAATAAAATCAGAATCAACAAATTGATCGATTGGTTGTTGTTTAACGCAACTTTCAGCACTTGTGTGCATTTTCGTGGCAGTCATTTTTTTTCTGGCGGAGGAACCCGGAGTGTCCGGAGAGAACCACCGACCTTCAGTAGGAAACTGACCTTCTTAGTAAATAAAGATTGAAATCGAGGACACTTGCCACCTGCGGGATTCGAACTCAAAACCTCATAAATGACAGGCTAGTGATACAATAATTCGACTAGTTTCGCTCTGAAATAACTTGTCTTATTGTAGGTGGGGGCGTTAATTTAAATGTATAGAATCTTTTAATAACTGGTCAAAATGTTGTTTATGTCACGGTTTTTTTTTTTAAATATAATAAAAAGTATGGGTCACTGGGATTTTTTTTACTCTACATGTTGTACAAAATTGTCAAATTTTGTAAAGATTATGCATGGAAAACCCAATTTTGTGTGATAAAATGAAAACTTAACCATCGAATTGTAAGATAAAATATGAGAAGGTAGATCAAATAATATGCTTTCAGAGAAGAAAAAGGAAAAATGGGGCCACAGAACTTTCTTGCTATATAATAAATTGGGGATATTCATAACACATTGTTTTTAAAAAAGTTTCTGTTACTCAGTTATATCCCTTTATGCGGCAAAGTTAAACAAAAAATAAATCAAACAATAATATTTAGTTTTTTTTTTCTTTTTAAGTACAGCAGTAAAAACACAGTTAGTGAAACATGTCAGGATAATTTAACATGGATTAAAATGTCAAATCTGGCAATGTATCGTTCAATGTATATATAATCTGTTTATATGTTCTGTTCGTCAAATTTGGCCTCTATTGCTAGAAATAGAACATGCGAACTATAGCAATTAGAGGAAAAATACCTGGTAATGTTTAATGGTCACTTAAGGGGGTACCCAACACTATAATCCAAAAAAAACCTGTCGTTTAATTTTTCTTGTTTTTATCCCATTGATAAACTAGGCCAAGCTAAACATCTTATAAAAATTTCGAAGGATTTGAATCATACGTTTAAAAGATTTGGCAACTCGAATATGGCATCTTTTACATGCTAATATCAGCCAAATTTGGAAGTTTCAGAAATATGGGTATAGGGGTATATATGTTAAAAAATTTAAAATTGATCCTAAATTGACAATAGCATAGTTAATAGTGAAAACTGAGGCGAATTTTAGTTCACCTATTCCCTTTACTTGTATTTTTTTTATTCTGGATTTAAATTTTTGTCCGAATTTAAAAAGGGGGGTCTCAGATTCAGCCCCCCACAGTGAATATGATGGGTCAAGTATTTGAAGAAAAAATTTAAAAAAAAAATAAAACGTGTCGTTTAATTTTTTTTTTAAACTAACCATTTGTAGTGCTATATCAGTTTGTAATTCTTGCAAAAATGTATAAATTTTATCCACCAGATTTTTTTTAATTATAGTTTTTTATAATACCACCACCCTCAATAAATAAGAGCAAGTTCCATTCTGATAATATATTTGGGGCATAGTTTTCTTGTCTTTTGACCTAGGGCTTAGATATTTTGCATGTTGAAGTATCATCATGAGGTAGAGTGTCACATATCAAGATGACTTTCATGTGACCTTGAAATTTGACCTCAAGGTCAAATATATGAATTTTTGATAGAAAACAAGGCCATATGCATTTTTGTTGTTGTTTTTTTTACCTAGGTCCTGTATCTTTTGTATGAGGATGTATCATAATGAGATGGAGTGTCCTGTGTTGTGATGATCTTCATGTGACCTTAAATTGACCTCAAGGTCATTTTTTTTTTACTATAAACACTTTACCATGCCTTGTTGTCTTTTGACCTTGGACTTAGATCTTTGGTATGTAGATGTATCATCATCAGGTAATGTGTCTTGCACCATGATGACCTTCGTGTGATCTTGAAATTTGACCATAAGGTCAACTTTATGTAGTTTTTAGCATGAAAATGACCAGGCCATGACTTTTGACCTAGGTCTTACATCTTTGGCAAATATGAATGTATTATCATGAAGTGGTGTGTTCCTTGCAAATTTGACCTTCATGAGACTTTAAAGTTTGGTTCATTTTATTTTAGTAGCTTCAGATAAATGATTTTTGAAATTTTTATTTCATAGGGTACAATATCCAACCACTAGTATATTTGACTTTGGCGGTCATTTTTTTGCAGATAAAAATGGCAAATTATTTATTTTTCAGTGTCAATTGAGCTGGGACTATAACTCAAAATATGAAATGATAATGCAGGGAATCAAAATTTCATAGAACTTTGTAATATACACACTTATTGCATTCTTACCACCTTCCAAATTTCATTAAATGCTGTTGTGTGGTTGTTAAGGAGTTGAACTAACAAGAATAGGATACCCTACTGAAAATGTAAAGTGGGATTTCACTGAAAATACCAGTGGAGTTCCATCAGAGTTCCATTGGAATACCACTGTATTACCACTGGGAAATTTGGTCGGGATTTTAATTGGACATTCATTATTTTCCATTGGGATATCAGTGAAATATCCAATGGGATTCCGGTGAATACTCGAGTGGAATACAGTGGAAATTCCATTGGAATACCAGTGAAAACTTCGTTGGAATACCATTGTTTTCCCACTGGACATTTGTTGTTTTCAACTGGGATACCAGTGGTAATTCAATTGGAAATTGTAACAATCAACCAAAGAAAACCAGTGATATTTCAATGGAAATTGACAATTCCACTGAAACGTTAGATATCATTTTGCATGCACTGCTTATTTTTGAATGAATTAATAAGAAAACTTGAAATAAGACAATAACCATTTTAATGCAAGTCAACAATTAAAGAAATTACAACAGTTTATACATTATCCACATTTAAGACCTTTTAAATGAAAAGATCAACCTCTTTAAAATATTAATGTTGATAAATTATCACTTTTTAGTAAAAGATGTATTTACTTAATTGTACATGTAAATCATTTTTCTGGTTAAATTATTCATAAGTCCATGGTAACTTTTGGTCCTTGAAATCTTTCACAAATGGTTTTAATTTTCAATTTTACAAATTTGTTTATTGTGCATTAAACAAACAAAAATGTCCAGTTTACACGCATACGAAATACTTTGTCAGTTTGGTCAGTTTTCTTCATCATCCATTGATATTATTCATGAATTAAGTCAAAAGTTTCTGCATTCCAATCCTCTTCAATTAAGTCTTCATTGATTAATCTGAAAGAAAAAAAATCATACATCATAACATGCATAGAATTTTGAAATAAAATAATATTACAATACCATGCTCCAGTCTGCAATTATTCAAAAATATATGTTACTGGCATATTTTTTTGTGTTTGTTTAATTTATTCACAACATTTATACACTAAGAGCAATTTAGACACATGTATGTCTATTGTTGAAGACTATGTGTTCTCTAGATTTCTTTGGCTATAGTTGTTGGGTTGCTGTCTCTTAGATTTATAACACACATCTCTTTTTATCAAAATAGACTTTTATTGTTTATGGATCAGGTGTCTCTCAGAGGCCAAATAAAATAGTATGTTTGGTTCCAGTTACATTTAAAAAAAAATTAGGGTAGGTAGGTAAGATTTTTTTTTATTTTATGGCTTTTTTTACATTGAGTCTATGGGAGCAACATTCTGACTTAAACAGTACTTACTGAAAAATTCCAAAAAAATACTTTAGGGTAGGCTAATGTTAAGACTAAAAAAAAGGTAGGTAAGGTAATTGGAACCATGCATATATTTTTATTTAGCCTCATATTATCTTCCCCTTTGTGTTGTGTTTGTTGTTGGTTTACTATCTGGTTGAAGCATACCAGACACCTCATTTTATTTACATAATATCCATGATTAACAATTTGTGCATGATGATCAGATGAATGTTTTTGAGATGTGTTTACAGCTTATAGATGTGAATGATTAATGTATTTTTATTTCAAGTGTGGGAAGGATGAAAAAATAATTCAAGTACCTTTCAATAATCTTATACTCAAATTTCTTTTCTCCTGCTGGTTCGTTTGTTTTCATCGTGTTTTCATATTATTGAGTGGATATTGATCGATGCACAGTCATCATTTTTGCAGCTTTGTACCTTCACCATGATCAATTCCTTTTAATATATGGACAACCTAAGAAAAATGTAAAAACATTTTATTAATATTTTTTAATTCTGGTCATGACCTGTATGCATCATATATTACTGATATTTATCATACAATGTACATATATAATTAAGAAGCTTCTTTCATTTAAGTATAAAGATTCTAAAACACAATATTAACCTTTAGGGATTTTTTGTGTTGCATATCCATCCAATTCAGAACATGACAAAATTAAGTTGAATGTGCCTGACATTGTGTAGTAAACATCTTTCCTTGATTGTGAAGGCACACAATGTAATTGAATATTGAATAATAAAATTATTATTACATTCCCACCTCCCCCTTTTCAGTAGTCTAAATAATTATGACGTCTTGAAAGCCTATTATATTTTTTTCTTTGACGCCTTACATCGATGTAAGGCGTCAAAGAAAAAAAATATAATAACCTTTCAAGACGTCATGATTATTTGGACTACCTTTTCAGAACACCAAATGGTCATCCTCAAAGTGTGAACTAACGGAGCCCATGAATGAAACTAAAGCGGGTGTATATCTTTTTTATAATTTTAATTAAAAATATTCATGATGTAAAAATCAAATTAAAATCTCTTAAACATTACCTGTATCTGCTGTACGTCTGCCCTACATCAGCACATCGTCTCATCGTAAATTCTTGGTTCAACAGCTAATGTCATGCCTAAATGTTCTGCTTTTAATGACTTTTTCTTTATTTATCGAAGGTTGTTGAGTATTAATAATTATTAACATGATTAATGTAACCACAGGACAGGATACATACTCGTACAATATTTTTAGTTTCAAATTTGAACACATTCCGTGTATTAATGATAACGACGATCTGATTGGCCGATCGGAAATCCCGGAAATTGAGTTATCCAATCAAATCAGCGGTTATTTTTATAGTCTGGTAGAAAAAAATGGCAGCCTCCATGAATGTAAATATGTGTGTTGAAAAACAACATTATTGACTACAGTTTCACGAATTTTTTGCTCAAATGATGCCAAAACACTGACATTTAGCGTACAATTGATTGGACTATATGTGAAATGTTTCTATAGATTAACTTATATGACGCGAGTTCCAGTACCGAGTTCAGGACATGAAAATGATGAAAAATTCATCACCCCGACAAAGTTAAGATACCGAAACAGTTTATAGAACAATGTGGAAAATGAAAGCCGTTCACTTTATTTTTCTCAAAAGAACAGTAGACCAGTAACAGTTAATGAATATGATGAAGTCAAAGGAGAAATAATTATATTATTGTATACATGTAGACTAGTGCAAGGCAGTTTCCAGTACGGTCACTTGAAGAAAAAAACGGAGTTATCCTAACAATTCGTACAGACTGAAGATAATTTCTGCAACAGATCTGTTTAAAAACGGCCCTTTTAAGAGCCATGCACATTTTTCAAAAAGAATCGTAATTGTTTTTGTTCGTTAAATCAAACAGAATCTTATTCTCAACCCAATTTATTTATATTATTGCACATTTAATTTTATTTCCTAATAGTTAAAATGTATCCTTTCAATGTGTCATACTCATAGGCTATATGGTGATGCATTATATTCACCCTACATATGAGGAGCTACCATTTTACTTATTTTATATGGGAGGGGGGGGGGGGGGGGTCTTTCAGACCAAATGATTATTTTCATTTGTTGCTAGGCAAGTGATTTCATATTACGTTTAACCATGTAACTTTTTTGAACAAATGTTTCATATACATGTATCTATGTAGGTTTATGAAATATTCATTACATCCCATATATTATCATGATTATAATATTTAATTTCTTATCAGGCCAGCAAATTATATGTTACAAATTAAATCCTTTATATAATAATCATGCACTTAATTATTTGAAAAAAATTGAATTAGAATTATATATTCCTTTAAATTTCTAAGTCCAAAATTCCACTGGAATATTTGCATTAAATCAAAACTCCACTGAAATGTAAACAATAATATTCCACTGGAAATTAATTGGAAAATCTTTGGAAGTTTCATTGGAAATTTCACTGATTTTCCATTGGTATTACAGTGTGAAAAATATTTTAGATGTTTTGGATGAAATTCTAATGGGATTCCATCGGAATATTTTTTTCCACTGAATACCAGTGGAATCCCGTACTCATTTTCAGTAGGGTAGACAAATGGACAGACTGAAACATCATATCCTTGGCAAATTCATTGTGTTGGGAGAATAATAAAACAAGTATCAGGGTAGACACAGTCAGGTTATAGGAAAACACAGACATATATTTATTTTTTGGCCATACAAAATTCATTCCTCAGTCTGAAAGTAGTCCTGAATGCATTTCACACTCTTTGGTGGTATCTTATTGTCCTGTAAGACAAATTTCAGTCCATTTACATCTCGTACAGATGCCAGTTTGAGGTGTTTCAACGATATACCATCTTTTCCTAGTTGCATGCAAACTGGCCTTGAAACAATTTTATTACTTAGTAAGTCAGAGTAGGAGTCCATGCAATTGTGGTATAAAATGGAAAATACATCATCAGATTTCACTAGTGAGGTAAATTTACTGTCGTATAATGTTTTTAATGAATCCACATCCTCTATTGCATTGTGGGCAGAGTAATTTTCTCCTACAAACTGTTTGACAAGAGTCTGCTGCTTAAAATTTTCTACATCATTTTTTGGAATATATTTTCTAGCCACTTTCATTGTGTCAATAAAACCTTTCACGGTTTCACAAAATGTCGAAAAACAAATTACATGAATTTCTTTCAATTTGTTAACAATTACAGGAATGTCAAAGTTACAAATGTTATGACCTAGTATAATTGGCTGGTTCTGTTCCTTTAAAAAATGTATAAAATCAAGTAGGGCTTTATGTAGTGTCACAGGTTCAACTATATCTCCTTGAACATACGTTTTATTTGTTCCATGGCTGTATGTTATACCAGTGATCTTACTGGCCTCGATCTGAATGTCCACTCTTGGGATGACATATCTGTTAAAACTATTTGAATTTGACTTAGCTGCTATCTGAATGATGTCGCTATTCCTACCCAAGCCTGTTGTTTCTAAATCAAAAAACACTTTGCATTCAGTGCCATCTAGATTAACAGGAAGTGGAATTTCTGTGGTTTGCTCAAGGTCCTGTTGACGATCAAATTCCATTTGAGATCCATAGGTTTTTCCTTCTCTTACCAGATGTTTACGCTCGTTCTTATTGCGGTTTCTTTTCTTTTGTATACGGCCAACTTTATATTCCTTTGAACTCTTTTTTTCTTTTCTTTTTTCCATTTTTTGTATCTCTTACAGAGGAAATTGACATTGTAAATTCTCCTGGAGAGAGGTTTGCTGCTTCATTGATCTAAAAAAATGCAACATAATTAAAATGTAATACATATATGCATTAAAATATTAAAAATCAAGAAAAAACAGTAGTCTCCATCGTGAACACATATTTTGACCTATAATGGTAACTCTTTATATATCGTGACTTGGATGGATAGTTGTTGCATTAGCACACATACCACATCTGATAATAATTTGAGAAGAAAGAAGATAATTGAGTTACATACTAGATAAACATGATTCGTGACTGTAAATTGTACAATGTATATCTGCAGGGCTAAAAAAGCAATACAGTAATCTCCTTGTATATAAACATTGGATGCAACATGTAACATGGTTTCAAAAAGATAAAAAAATTATTAAAGGAAAATGTGTAAGATGTCATGAATGCCTCCGCTGTAGCTTTGCAATTTTCCAAGTTAAAAAGGGACAGAACTATAGGTTGACAAATGAGTCACAACACAAATTTGAACTCTGTCTGAGTGTTGTGATTCTTATATGTATCAGTTCTATAAAAGTTGTATCAGACAAACTTATGTTAGAGTAAGGAAACAAAACAATTTGCAAGTTATAAAGGGCATGACTCTAGAACAATAAGTGACTCACTTTCCGTGATGAGGCAAACTTCAGTTAGAGTGAGGAAAGGAAAGAGGATGAGAGTAAGGTCAGACGGACAAAAAGACATGGAGTGGACATAAAGATAGTACTAAAAATTTAATTTTAATGAACTTTAGGTCAAGGTCTTAGTTACCAATCCTGGAACTTGACACAAGTGATATACCCACATACTAAAAATTCATTATATGCTATATCAAAAGATTAATAAAGTTATGGTCTGAACAGGCTTTTCTGAAAAGATGAAGAAGAAGAAAGAAATAGAAGAGGAAAGAAAAAGAAGCAATCATATTCAATCACTATGTCACCCTTCGTTCAAAAAGAAGATGTTAAAATTTTCATAGTTACCTTGGATAAGTAGCCATATCCTTCATTTTTCTGAAGCACAGCTGCAGATAGCCTGACAAGATAATTAAGTCTTAGATGCATGGGTTTTTTTGTTATTGGCTTTGAACTAGCTGTCAGTAATTGCAATGTGACATATTTGTTTTTCATTTATTGATTTTTTACATTAATTTGGCCATTAGTTTTCTTGTTTGAATTGTGTTGAATGTTGAACTTTGACATATGTATAATTGGTTTCTTTTTACAAATTGTGACTTGGATGGAAGAGGTGTCTCATTAGCACTCATACCACATCTTTTTATATCTATACATAAATTTGTGAATTGGGGCCTTTTATAGCTTACTATGTCATATGAGAATTGATCATTGTTAAATGCCTTTCTGTGACCCATAGCTGTTAATTTCTGTGTCATTTGCTCTCTAGTGTAGAGTTGTCTTAGTTATTGGTAATCATAAAACATATTTTTTATACTTGTATTCATTGTTGCTTAAGAATGTGATCTGACATGCAAATATATATACAAATTACCTTGATTTAGGGGCCTTTACAGATACAAGCTGGTTAAAGCTTTCATTTGACTGTGTAGATCCAAGATCATTTAAAGAATTACTCCTACCAATCATTTTTTGCACTAAATTATTCAATTCAACCTTTAATCCTTCAGACTTGAGCGGTTTCCCATTTGGTAAACTTTTATACCTAAAATGGAGTTGAATAAAATGAAAATAAAATTTACATTTCAAATTTTTATTTGCACAAAATACTTAGCCTGAAACTTTAGTGTTAATATTTAGTATAAGTATATGTTCAATATTTCTATACATGGGCGGATCAAGAAATTTTAAAACAGGGGCAGGAGTTGTTAAGAAAAAAGGGGAGTTCTTAGAACAAAAAATGGGTGCAGCTTGATACTACCGCAGAGGTCGAACCCTGAACAGTTGGGGCAAGTATGGACACAACATTCAAGCTTGATACAGCTCTGAATTTGAATTGTTATTAATATTTGACACAGCATAGATTTCTGACACAAAATGAATGTAGTCTAAGAAATTAAAATTTTTAAATTGGGCATTTACCTACTAAGGTCAAATATCCAAAATCTAAATACATGGTTAGATTAAGCATATCAAAGAACCTCAAGAATTCATTTTTTTAAGAAATCAAATAAAATTTAATATTGAACCCTTTTGACCTCAATATGGACCAATTTGATAACGGGACCCAAAATCAAAAATCTAAATACATGGTAAGATTCAGCATATCAAAGAACCCAATATATTCAATTTTTGTTGAAATCAAACAAAGTTTAATTTTGGACCCTTTGACCTTAATGTAGACCAATTAGAAAATGGGACCAAAAATTAAAAATCTAAATACAAGGTTAGATTCCGCATATCAAAGAACCCTAATAAGTCAATTTTTGATGAAATCAAACAAAGTTTAATTTGGACCCTTTGGACCTCAATGTAGGCCAATTTAAATGGGGTTCAAAATCCAAAAACTTAATACATGGTTAGATTCAGCATATCAAAGAACCCCATATATTCAATTTTTGTTGAAATCAAACAAATTTTAATTTTGGACCCCAATTTGGACTGACTTGAAAACTGGGCCCATAATCAAAAATCTAAATATATGTTTAGATTCAGCATATCAAAGAACCCCATGAATTCAATTTTTGTTAAAAACAAACAAAGTATAATTTTGGACCCTTTGGACCTTAATGTAGATCAATTTGAAAACGGGACCAAAAATTAAGAACCTAAATACACAGTTGGATTCGTCATATCAAAGAACCCCTATAATTCAATTTTTGATGAAATCAAACAAAGTTTAATTTTTGACCCTTTGGACCTCAATGTGGACCAATTTAAAAACCGGGCCAAAATCCAAAAACTTAATACACGGTTAGATTCAGCATATTAAGGAATCAATTTTTAGGATTGACATATGTATCATTGGTTTCACAAAAGTTTCTGTTACTCAGTTATATCCCTTTATGCGGCAAAGTTAAACAAAAAATAAATCAAACAATAATATTTAGTTTTTTTTTTCTTTTTAAGTACAACAGTAAAAACACAGTTAGTGAAACATGTCAGGATAATTTAACATGGATTAAAATGTCAAATCTGGCAATGTATCGTTCAATGTATATATAATCTGTTTATATGTTCTGTTCGTCAAATTTGGCCTCTATTGCTAGAAATAGAACATGCGAACTATAGCAATTAGAGGAAAAATACCTGGTAATGTTTAATGGTCACTTAAGGGGGTACCCAACACTATAATCCAAAAAAAAACTGTCGTTTAATTTTTCTTGTTTTTATCCCATTGATAAACTAGGCCAAGCTAAACATCTTATAAAAATTTCGAAGGATTTGAATCATACGTTTAAAAGATTTGGCAACTCGAATATGGCATCTTTTACATGCTAATATCAGCCAAATTTGGAAGTTTCAGAAATATGGGTATAGGGGTATATATGTTAAAAAATTTAAAATTGATCCTAAATTGACAATAGCATAGTTAATAGTGAAAACTGAGGCGAATTTTAGTTCACCTATTCCCTTTACTTGTATTTTTTTTATTCTGGATTTGAATTTTTGTCCGAATTTAAAAAGGGGGGTCTCAGATTCAGCCCCCCCACAGTGAATATGATGGGTCAAGTATTTGAAGAAAAAATTTAAAAAAAAAAAAAACGTGTCGTTTAATTTTTTTTTAAAACTAACCATTTGTAGTGCTATATCAGTTTGTAATTCTTGCAAAAATGTATAAATTTTATCCACCAGATTTTTTTTAATTATAGTTTTTTATAATACCACCACCCTCAATAAATAAGAGCAAGTTCCATTCTGATAATATATTTGGGGCATAGTTTTCTTGTCTTTTGACCTAGGGCTTAGATATTTTGCATGTTGAAGTATCATCATGAGGTAGAGTGTCACATATCAAGATGACTTTCATGTGACCTTGAAATTTGACCTCAAGGTCAAATATATGAATTTTTGATAGAAAACAAGGCCATATGCATTTTTGTTGTTGTTTTTTTTTTACCTAGGTCCTGTATCTTTTGTATGAGGATGTATCATAATGAGATGGAGTGTCCTGTGTTGTGATGATCTTCATGTGACCTTAAATTGACCTCAAGGTCATTTTTTTTTTTACTATTAACACTTTACCATGCCTTGTTGTTTTTTGACCTTGGACTTAGATCTTTGGTATGTAGATGTATCATCATCAGGTAATGTGTCTTGCACCATGATGACCTTCATGTGATCTTGAAATTTGACCACAAGGTCAACTTTATGTAGTTTTTAGCATGAAAATGACCAGGCCATGACTTTTGACCTAGGTCTTACATCTTTGGCAAATATGAATGTATTATCATGAAGTGGTGTGTTCCTTGCAAATTTGACCTTCATGAGACTTTAAAGTTTGGTTCATTTTATTTTAGTAGCTTCAGATAAATGATTTTTGAAATTTTTATTTCATAGGGTACAATATCCAACCACTAGTATATTTGACTTTGGCGGTCATTTTTTTGCAGATAAAAATGGCAAATTATTTATTTTTCAGTGTCAATTGAGCTGGGACTATAACTCAAAATATAAAAATGATAATGCAGGGAATCAAAATTTCATAGAAATTTGTAATATACACACTTATTGCATTCTTACCACCTTCCAAATTTCATTAAATTCTGTTGTGTGGTTGTTAAGGAGTTGAACTAACAAGAATAGGATATATATAGACAAATGGACAGACTGAAACATCATATCCTTGGCAAATTCATTGTGTTGGGAAAATAATAAAACAAGTATCAGGGTAGACACAGTCAGGTTATAGGAAAACACAGACATATATTTATTTTTTGGCCATACAAAATTCATTCCTCAGTCTGAAAGTAGTCCTGAATGCATTTCACACTCTTTGGTGGTATCTTATGGTCCTGTAAGACAAATTTCAGTCCATTTACATCTCGTACAGATGCCAGTTTGAGGTGTTTCAACGATATACCATCTTTTGCTAGTTGCATGCAAACTAGCCTTGAAACAATTTTATTACTTAGTAAGTCAGAGTAGGAGTCCATGCAATTGTGGTATAAAATGGAAAATACATCATCAGATTTCACTAGTGAGGTAAATTTACTGTTGTATAATGTTTTTAATGAATCCACATCCTCTATTGCATTGTGGGCAGAGTAATTTTCTCCTACAAACTGTTTGACAAGAGTCTGCTGCTTAAAATTTTCTACATCATTTTTTGAAATATATTTTCTAGCCACTTTCATTGTGTCAATAAAACCTTTCACGGTTTCACAAAATGTCGAAAAACAAATTACATGAATTTCTTTCAATTTGTTAACAATTACAGGAATGTCAAAGTTACAAATGTTATGACCTAGTATAATTGGCTGGTTCTGTTCCTTTAAAAATGTATAAAATCAAGTAGGGCTTTATGTAGTGTCACAGGTTCAACTATATCTCCTCGAACATACGTTTTATTTGTTCCATGGCTGTATGTTATACCAGTGATCTTACTGGCCTCGATCTGAATGTCCACTCTTGGGATGACATATCTGTTAAAACTATTTGAATTTGACTTAGCTGCTATCTGAATGATGTCGCTATTCCTACCCAAGCCTGTTGTTTCTAAATCAAAAAACACTTTGCATTCAGTGCCATCTAGATTAACAGGAAGTGGAATTTCTGTGGTTTGCTCAGGGTCCTGTTGACGATCAAATTCCATTTGAGATCCATAGGTTTTTCCTTCTCTTAACAGATGTTTACGCTCGTTCTTATTGCGGTTTCTTTTCTTTTGTATACGGCCAACTTTATATTCCTTTGAACTCTTTTTTTCTTTTCTTTTTTCCATTTTTTTTATCTCTTACAGAGGAAATTGATATTGTAAATTCTCCTGGAGAGAGGTTTGCTGCTTCATTGATCTAAAAAAATGAAACATAATTAAAATGTAATACATATATGCATTAAAATATTAAAAATCAAGAAAAAACAGTAGTCTCCATCGTGAACACATATTTTGACCTATAATGGTAACTCTTTATATATCGTGACTTGGATGGATAGTTGTTGCATTAGCACACATACCACATCTGATAACAATTTGAGAAGAAAGAAGATAATTGAGTTACATACTAGATAAACATGATTCGTGACTGTAAATTGTACAATGTATATCTGCAGGGCTAAAAAAGCAATACAGTAATCTCCTTGTATATAAACATTGGATGCAACATGTAACATGGTTTCAAAAAGATAAAAAAATTATTAAAGGAAAATGTGTAAGATGTCATGAATGCCTCCGCTGTAGCTTTGCAATTTTCCAAGTTAAAAAGGGACAGAACTATAGGTTGACAAATGAGTCACAACACAAATTTGAACTCTGTCTGAGTGTTGTGATTCTTATATGTATCAGTTCTATAAAAGTTGTATCAGACAAACTTATGTTAGAGTAAGGAAACAAAACAATTTGCAAGTTATAAAGGGCATGACTCTAGAACAATAAGTGACTCACTTTCCGTGATGAGGCAAACTTCAGTTAGAGTGAGGAAATGAAAGAGGATGAGAGTAAGGTCAGACGGACAAAAAGACATGGAGTGGACATAAAGATAGTACTAAAAATTTAATTTTAATGAACTTTAGGTCAAGGTCTTAGTTACCAATCCTGGAACTTGACACAAGTGATATACCCACATACTAAAAATTCATTATATGCTATATCAAAAGATTAATAAAGTTATGGTCTGAACAGGCTTTTCTGAAAAGATGAAGAAGAAGAAAGAAATAGAAGAGGAAAGAAAAAGAAGCAATCATATTCAATCACTATGTCACCCTTCGTTCAAAAAGAAGATGTTAAAATTTTCATAGTTACCTTGGATAAGTAGCCATATCCTTCATTTTTCTGAAGCACAGCTGCAGATAGCCTGACAAGATAATTAAGTCTTAGATGCATGGGTTTTTTTTTTGTTATTGGCTTTGAACTAGCTGTCAGTAATTGCAATGTGACATATTTGTTTTTCATTTATTGATTTTTTACATTAATTTGGCCATTAGTTTTCTTGTTTGAATTGTGTTGAATGTTGAACTTTGACATATGTATAATTGGTTTCTTTTTACAAATTGTGACTTGGATGGAAGAGGTGTCTCATTAGCACTCATACCACATCTTTTTATATCTATACATAAATTTGTGAATTGGGGCCTTTTATAGCTTACTATGTCATATGAGAATTGATCATTGTTAAATGCCTTTCTGTGACCCATAGCTGTTAATTTCTGTGTCATTTGCTCTCTAGTGTAGAGTTGTCTTAGTTATTGGTAATCATAAAACATATTTTTTATACTTGTATTCATTGTTGCTTTAGAATGTGATCTGACATGCAAATATATATACAAATTACCTTGATTTAGGGGCCTTTACAGATACAAGCTGGTTAAAGCTTTCATTTGACTGTGTAGATCCAAGATCATTTAAAGAATTACTCCTACCAATCATTTTTTGCACTAAATTATTCAATTCAACCTTTAATCCTTCAGACTTGAGCGGTTTCCCATTTGGTAAACTTTTATACCTAAAATGGAGTTGAATAAAATGAAAATAAAATTTACATTTCAAATTTTTATTTGCACAAAATACTTAGCCTGAAACTTTAGTGTTAATATTTAGTATAAGTATATGTTCAATATTTCTGTACATGGGCGGATCAAGAAATTCTAAAACAGGGGCAGGAGTTGTTAAGAAAAAAGGGGAGTTCTTAGAACAAAAAGTGGGTGCAGCTTGATACTACCGCAGAGGTCGAACCCTGAACAGTTGGGGCAAGTATGGACACAACATTCAAGCTTGATACAGCTCTGAATTTGAATTGTTATTAATATTTGACACAGCATAGATTTCTGACACAAAATGAATGTAGTCTAAGAAATTAAAATTTTTAAATTGGGCATTCACCTACTAAGGTCAAATATCCAAAATCTAAATACATGGTTAGATTAAGCATATCAAAGAACCTCAAGAATTCATTTTTTTAAGAAATCAAATAAAATTTAATATTGAACCCTTTTGACCTCAATATGGACCAATTTGATAACGGGACCCAAAATCAAAAATCTAAATACATGGTAAGATTCAGCATATCAAAGAACCCAATATATTCAATTTTTGTTGAAATCAAACAAAGTTTAATTTTGGACCCTTTGACCTTAATGTAGACCAATTAGAAAAGGGACCAAAAATTAAAAATCTAAATACAAGGTTAGATTCCGCATATCAAAGAACCCTAATAAGTCAATTTTTGATGAAATCAAACAAAGTTTAATTTGGACACTTTGGACCTCAATGTAGGCCAATTTAAATGGGGTTCAAAATCCAAAAACTTAATACATGGTTAGATTCAGCATATCAAAGAACCCCATATATTAAATTTTTGTTGAAATCAAACAAAGTTTAATTTTGGACCCCAATTTGGACTGACTTGAAAACTGGGCCCATAATCAAAAATCTAAATATATGTTTAGATTCAGCATATCAAAGAACCCCATGAATTCAATTTTTGTTAAAAACAAACAAAGTATAATTTTGGACCCTTTGGACCTTAATGTAGATCAATTTGAAAACGGGACCAAAAATTAAGAACCTAAATACACAGTTGGATTCGTCATATCAAAGAACCCCTATAATTCAATTTTTGATGAAATCAAACAAAGTTTAATTTTTGACCCTTTGGACCTCAATGTGGACCAATTTAAAAACCGGGCCAAAATCCAAAAACTTAATACACGGTAAGATTCAGCATACTAAGGAATCAATTTTTAGGATTGACATATGTATCATTGGTTTCTTTTTACAAATTGTGAATTGGATGGAAGAGGTGTCTCATTAGCACTCATACCACATCTTATATCTATTAATTCTTTGAGAAATGAGACAATACAGAAAACAAGAGGCTCTCAAGAGCCTGAATCGCTCACCTGTTAAAACCTGGTTAAATCTTTCATCAATGATTAGTTTTGCTTTTCAATATATATTAATGAGTGGCTTAAAAATGCCACTTCAATGTTCATTGTATCTGTCATATTTTCTTCAAAAGCAAATAAATGCATTTTACCCATATGTTCCATTTTAGCCATAGTTTCTATGTTTCTTGACGTACAAGGAAATAAAATACAAAATTTATACTAGATTCATTTCTTTTTTTAAAGTTAAAAAACATAAACAACTTGTATAAAATTGTCCTTAAAGGGCAATAACTTCTTAAGGGGTCAATTGACAATTTTGATCATATGAAACCTTTTTGTAGATCTTACTTTATTGGACATTTTTTGCTGTTTACAGTTTATCTTTATCTTCAATAATATTCAAGATAGCAACCAAAAACTGCAAAATTTCCTTCAAATAACCAATTTAGTGGCAGCAACCCAACAATGTTTGTCTGAAAAAGTCTGGGATGATAGATCTTGACCTTTTAAACATTTTTACCCCATGTCAGATTTTCTCTAAATGCTTTAGTTTCTGAGATATAAGCCAAAAACTGCATTTGACCCCTATGTTCTATTTTTAGCCATGGCGGCCATGTTTGTTGATTGATAAAAAATTCGGATATAATTCATAAACTAAATTCCTAAAGGAACATTTATTTAAAGTTAAGAAGTATTAGGCACAATAGTTTCAGAGGAGAAGATTTTTTAATGTTAGCAAACTTGATGAACAAATTGTGTAAAATTGTCTTTAAAGCTTTAAGGGCAATAACTCCTTAAGCGGTCAATTGACAATTTTGGTCATTTAACTTTTTTGTAGATCTTAATTTGCTGAACATTATTGCTGTTTACAGTTTATATCTATCTATAATAATATTCAAGATAATAACAAAAAACTGCAAAATTTCCTTTAAACTACCAATTTAGTGGCAGCAACCCAACAATTGGTTGTTCGATTCGTCTGAAAATTTCAGGGCTGATAGATCTTGACCAATTGAACAATTTTACCCATTGTCAGATTTGCTTTAAAAGCTTTAGTTTTTGAGATATAAGCCAAAAACTACATTTGACCCCTATGTTCTATTTTTAGCCATGGCGGCCATGTTTGTCGATGGATCAAAACTTTGGATACAATTTATAAACTACATACCCTAAGGAACATTTATTTTAAGATTGAAGGTATTTAGCCCAGTAGTTTCAAAGGAGAAGATTTTTGAAATAGTTTACGACGACGACGACAGACGAACGCCAAGTGATGGTATAAGCTCACATGGGGCCCTTCGGGCCCCAGTAAGCTAACAATATGTTGTCAATACCAGTATAGAAGATCTTACGTAAATGTTTCTGGATCTTGATGATAGCTACACCAGTCAGCATCTTTACAATTTTCATGTGATCCAAAAATATCTGGTACAATTCTTTGCAGCCCAATCTTAATGTCATCTTCATTGTCACCTCCCTTAATGGAATACATAAAGCACCTCAAAATATTTTTTTGTTTCATCCTTTTGCAATTCTTTTAACTACAAAATAAGAAACAAATAATTAATGTAAAAAAAAAATTTAAAAAGTCTTCTTTTTTTTATTGCTTATCTGTCTATACTATTGAGGGAGCAAGCACCCTTCAGACTTTTATGGGGCATGAACTAAATCTTCAATCATGGATTCATGCATCTGCCTTTTAATTTTCAGAAAAAAAGGGTCCTAGTTTCTATTTTTTAAGTCCGGCCTTTTTATTCTAAACTTCATAAAGCCTCACTAAAAACTATTTGGTCGTTCCATAAGCCATGAAGATTACTCATATATATACTAATAGTTCTTTCAATTTTCAATGTAATGTTTGTGAATTCAGATAACACAAAAATGCAAAGATCTTTACATGTCTTTGAACAACACAAAATTGAAATTTCATTGTAATGTTTTTTTTAGAGTTTGTAGTCTTGACAGATCAATATAATAAGATCTATAAGTATGATTTGATTTGGTAAAGGATGGGCTTAAGCCTTTTCATATCATAGACATACTCGTAACACTAAAATTAATTTGTGAAAATACCTCTTTGAAATATTATATTTGCTTGTTGATATACCCTTCTTTACATGGTTCTGGTCATCTTTTTTCTTTATATTTTCAAACTCAACTTCAAGTCTGGCTGATGTTGCTGCATCATTATCAGCATGTATGACTGAAATGAAGATTGAAGAATTATAAACCTACAAAAAGGCAACACAACAGCGGTCAAGATATACAACTGCAAGCATATTTTTTTTATTTGGAAAATAGTGATAGCTGTTATATTCTGCCTTATTTAATTACATGTAGCTAATGTAAATAAAGCAACTAAAATAAATATAAACTGGATTTTTACATGCAATTGCTTATGTTATATCATTAACAACAAAATTAATTGATTCTTTGTCATAAAAGTGTAAGAACAAAATCTTAGTTTCCTGTGAAAATCACAAAATATTCACCTTTCAAATTTAAAAGTATTGTTGAAAGAAGAGTTATTTCCCTTTATATGATATTTTCAATGCATTTTGGGGAACTCATTACATGAAATTGTATTTCAAAATTCTTTATTTTGAATATGAGACATACCATTAATTTCACATTCATCACCTTTTAATCTGTGGGCCATAGAAACCGCCATATCTGCCTCCATGGATTTACTAGAGCCATGCCAATTCAACTGACACTCATGCTCCGGAACAGTCTCTTTTCTATTAAGATGGAATTCACAAACCTTACAAGTCTTACTCCTTAAATCAAAGGACAACACCTTTCCTGTCTCCTTTCCAATAAAAGTTGCATGTCCTGCAAGAATTAAAGTAAAAGGTATTACATACATGATGCAATGATAAACAGTTTAGTAAATATTTTTTTGAAGTTTGGTTTCAATTTGTTTAGAAGTGTAGGATAATGGATATTTTAATGAAAGGTTCACAGATGTAATGTTACAGATTAATATGACGGACAGATATTGATAATAAGGAGCCTGTAGTTCAGTGGTTGTTGTTAGTTTACATCTGTCATATTTTCTTCATAAATTGTTTTGTTATTATTTACGCCGTTAGTTTTTTCATTTGAATTGTTTGGTATTTTTCATGTTGGATATAAGTTTTTCTCATTATTGAAGGTTTTATAGTTGTCTAGCTATAATTGCCTACTTCCAATTCATTTGAGCTCTGGTGGACAGTTGAGTCACTGGCAATCATGTAACACATCTTACTTCTATAATGTATGCAAAATGATGGCAAAAGCTCACCTATTTGCTATAATTGAACCAGGTAAGTTAAAGAGATCTAGCCTAGGGATTGAATAAAAATAAGTATGGGAAGATATTTCTTTAACTACAGCTTCTTACATGTCTTATATCAAACTAAATAGTGAAATTAATTCTTTGTCCAATTAAGTTATTTATATTAATAATTGATTCAGCAAAATTTAACAAAATACAGTAATTAAATCATGAATGTCAGACATTAAATTATATAATATGAATGCTGTTTATTTACATGTATTACTATTATAATTCCAACCGGAGCCTCTCTTTTGCCAGTCGCCGTCAAAACTTGCTTCAATCTAAAAAAGATTGCATTTCTAATAAAAAAAAGTCCCAGCAAGTTTTTTATAGATTGACCTTAAACATTTACCTTCACCTTTAGGATACCTAGTTTTGTAGTAAGCTACAAATACATTATTAAGAACACAAACAAATCTTTTGGATGCATATGTATGCAGAAACAAACATTTGCAGTGACTGCACACCAAATACACAATTAGAAATTATTGTTTTTGTGGTCCTTAAAGAAATTCTGCTGGTCCTCACTGTTAAATCTACTGAAAAAATTTCAAAAATTGTGCTGTCCTGTGCAATTTTAGGTGGTGAAAAGTCTTGATCTGTACATGCATGTACATGTATTGTTGTTTATTCTGTCTGTCTCACACTTATACCTAAATGATTATTGTATTTTTTGTAATTAGGACAATATTTACTAAGGGGACACATTTTAATATTACAAATTTACTCTTCTGTGAAACTGTTATTTGTTTAATAATTCTTTGAATGATTCTTGATGCATGAAACCATGAAATAATAAAAAATCAGCTTCACTTCAAAAACATGTTTGATGTTACTTTGAAGTTTCTTATGACATACCTGTACATATATACAATGTAGCATTACATGATCAAATTGCATTATAATTCTCATATATATTACCTAAGTCCCTTGAATTAAATCTAGGATCTAGGACTTTCTAGATGTACTCCATAAAAAGTTATACAATATAAGGTTTGTTTGGTTTTTTTTTTTTTGGGGGGGGGGGGGGGGGGGGTGGGGGGTAAAAAAGACTTAGTTTTTTAGAAAGGGGCATCCAGTCTGGATATTCCACTTTGTGTGCATACATTTAATACTTACATTGCCATTTGTGCTAAGTGACTTTTCCTCTCTTTGTGCCATATTGCACGACTGGATTGTTACATTTTTAATCTGTCCACTTAATTCTTTCTCTTTTTTCCTTAATGTGCTCTCTGTAATGGATGGCAGGTTACATTCTGCTAGAAAGTTCTGCAGATGAGTTGGGCCCATCCCTGCATGTATCATTCCTTTAATAGAATATGAGGTATTATTAAAATTGAGAAAGAAAATTGATGTCTTAATAATGGAAAATGTACACACCTGCATTTCTAAGACTAAGAAACAGTTGTGTTATAAACAAAGAAAAGATGGTAATTTGTTTCTCTTAAAATTGTAAAATTCTTTAAAATTTCCTAGACTAAAGATATATTAACAGGACACAGGCTGACAGTCCTGTGCTAATTTCTCTGACTTGGCTTACAAAACATCATCTAAGAATATTTGCATGATATGATAATGTACATATAGTTGTACATTTAATGGCCAAGCCCTAAAAAAAATATTTCACAGTTTATAACTAGTTATTATAACTCTTTTCAAAGCCTACTTTGACTATGAAAAAGATAAGAAGGGAGGGGTTGAAAGTTGTTGATGTTCATTAAACAATGACAATGTTTTCAACAATTAATTTGCTATAAGGCACAGGCATTTGTCTCAGAAAAAATCCTAAATACCTTAATCTAAAAAGTTTTCCCAACACCCCAATTTGCCCAAGTATGCAAGCAGCATGCACTGTTGAGTTAGCTATATATATAGACACATTAGTTGTAATTGCCCCCAAGGACTCAATATTAATCTATTTATTAAACAAAAATCATGAATGCATTTAAATATAATTATGAAAAATAAACAATGCAACATGTTAATTATAAATAAAATGTAAACAGTAAAACTGTAAATATTAGCATCATACAGGCTATTATAATTTACAAGCATGTGATATAATCATATAGTTTCTATACCTACCTATGGAAGCTTTTGTGTTGATGTCATAACTTCCAGATGGCCCCCTCTTCCCAAACTGGACATCAGTTACAGTATGACACAGTTCACAATCCACCATCAGTAGACCACCTAGCCCAAACAGTCGTTCTCCTACAATATTTGACAGGTGAAGCGGACACTTGCAAGTGCAGCAATACATTACTTTTGCTAGGACATTCAACTCAACAATTCTTCTCCTCATTGTCCAAGATTTTGACACATCAGACTTGTTATCATCTTCCAATTCAGCCTCGGCCCCAACATCAAGAAACTCGTATACGTAATTGCCATGATCATTACGCAAGCCGACTTGCGGAGAATCTTCCAATTTCCTGCCATCATTTAACCATTTGAAGTAATCTGAACGATTTGATTTCTTATCGGCAGATTTAGACCTCGAAAATTTACCAAACGGATCACGTTTACGCTGTTCCATTATAACATTGATGTATCGTCTGCTTCATATCAACAGGTAAACAACTATTCAAGGTCAATAAAACGCTTGTAATATGAGGCGTATTTTAAAACGCTATATTGACGTAAGTTAATTCAGAATTTCAGTCAGAGTTATCTTTTCTTAGGTGTACGGTACCCCCTTAATGCCCCTGAAATTTAGATTTTTGTATTTTTTACTGCTGTTTTTTGCCATTATTTTGAAAACAATCAGAGCAAAGTTAAAAGAGTATTTTTCCAAAAATGAAGATCAGCATGGCAAGATCTATCTACCCAAAACATTCTAAAAACTCTAAATCGAGTTATTATCTATGAATTGTACGTTTTTACCAGTGTTTTATTATTATTTATTATTTTATTATTTTATCATACACAGTCATCTCAGTACCAGAATCTATGACAAACGAGACGAGTTTAGTTTTAAAATTATAAATTTCCCCCACCTTAGTAGCAATATACCAACTTCACCTGCATATGGGATATACATTTCCCAACTTATTCGATATTCAAGAGCTTGCAGCTCCTACTCAGACTTTGTAAAACGTCACCAGTGTCTGAGCAGAAAGTTGATGAACCAGGGGTATGTCAAAGAACGTCTCGTCCTTTTTCTAAAAAAGTTCATCGGAAGGTACCAAGACCTTGTTGATAAATATTCCGTATCAACTTCACAAATAATACATGATGGTCTTGAAGTATAGATTCTGCATACTGACGTTGTTTATCATCTTAACAACGTGTAATATTGTTCTTTCATTTGTCTTTGTTCTATTATTAATATTACTTTTACTGTTTGGTTTGTTTTCTGTGATATCCATTTGACGTGGCTAGGTACTCATACATCCCGTCAATGTGTTTGTATTATCTTTCATTCTTGCTGGTGTGTTTTGTATATGCGACTTTTTGTGTTAACGTGGTTCTTATAACGTGACTCTGTACTTTAAAAGATCCCGTCATTATGTTATTGTTCTATTATATGTCATTATGTTATTGTTCTATTATAAATTTGAAAATACTTTGAACGACAAACGACAAATTTATTTTACTCGCGTAGTGGTATTTACCATATGTGGATTCTTTAAAATTCTAAAGAACTTTTGGACAATTTTAAATCTCGGTCTATTTCTGAAATTAATTCTAACATAACTTTTGATTTTTTAACCCTGTATACCAACATTCCCCATGTGAAATTATAAAATTGTTTTGAATAAACATTGAATGACAAACTTTTTTCTTATGTGACGTTTACATTTTCTGACGTCAGACACGCGAAGCAATGAATGTGGTTTTTAATTTGATAGATGCTTTTGTGCTTTTTTTGTAAATAATTGTTTGTTTTGATATTGTAACACAGTGATGACTGCTGTACCCATATTTTGACTATTTTATTTATAATGTCTGTTTTGTTCACGCATCGTTGTAAATATAACGGAATTTGATAAGACTGTCGTACAAGTGAGAGGTTTAGCGCTATAAAACCAGGTTCAATCCACCATTTTCTACATTTGAAAATGCCTGTACCAAGTCAGGAATATGACAGTTGTTGTCCATTCGTTTGATGGGTTTTGTCATTTGATTTTGTCATGTGATTAGGGACTTTCCGATTGAATTTTCCTCGGAGTTCAGTATTTTTGTGATTTTACTTTTTATTGATATCTATAAAAGTATAAGAACTAGTCTGTGGTTCAAAATGTAAATTGCAAAATTGTTAAAAAAGGACAAGATGTTTTAAACCGAATATTTGTAGAAAAATCATATTTCTCGTTTTGATGAAATTGATCTAGATTATTCGTTTTGTTGGATTTGTTAAAGTTTTGGAAGCTATCGTGGTTATCTTGGATATTTTAGAAGCTTCTTTCAATATTTTATGGCAAAAATTAGCCACACAGCAAAATTATCTACTTTTATTTACTAAAATGATGTTAATCTCTTTCGGAGTTATTACTCCTAATAAGTCCATTTTTCCATTTTTTGTGTGTTATCAAATCTAAAGTTATTAAGTTTAAAGTTTAAATGATTAAAATGATCAGTGTGACAAGATCTATATACATTTGAAAAACTAATGAAATTCTGACACAATGTTTTGGAGTTGTTGCCCTTGAAATGTCGATTTTTTTCAATATTTGCCGCTTTCAACTATCTCAAAACCTTCAGGAAGTAGGCAAAATATGTAAATTGCAAAATGTTTAGAAACACAAACAAATAACTTGGGAAATGGATTCTTAATATGAGTTGTTGTCCTTGAATGTCAAGTTTAACCATTGGTTTTATTTATAGCTTTTTTCTAAAAACAATGATAATAAGAGTAAAAAAGTAAACAGCAAGAATAACGAGAACGGTAAGATCTAATACAAGTTTAACATCACCAATATGTGAAATTTATTTCTTTTTGATTTATAGCTCTTACATAACCCATTAACTGCTTTTTGGCAATTATATTGAAAACTATAATATATAATGATAGACAGCTAACGTGACCAGCATACCAAGACCTGCAAATACATATGGTAGACAGAAATTGTAAATCGATTCTGTATGCCCTTGAATGACAATATTTGTCAAGTTTATAGGTTTTGGTAGTATTTTCTTAAACACTATTCTAAAATAATGAGAAATGCCATTATGGTAAACAGCAACATTCATAAGCAACACACACCCTACGTAAAAGTCAAACGTCGGTAATCATGGTAATTGTCAATCGACTCATAATAGGAGTAATTGCCCTTAAACGACGGTTTTAATCCATTTGTGTTTTTTAGCCATTATTTTAAAAACTATTCTAAACATTTAGTACTGCACATAGGGAAAATGTTCATCAAACCAAAATTTACAAATAAGTCAGATAGACAAACATGATCAAATAAATCCTTATTTCAGCATGACTGACACATATTTTTATTAATTGTTTGTGCTTTTGACTTATTTCACGAAAACTATTGCAGATACAGAGAAATTATAAAAAGTGAAACTGATCAATCCAATAAAAAAAGCTGATTGTATATAATGTGAATATTAATATCAAAATGACATATTTGTCAGTTGAGCGTGTCAGTTTCTTAGAAGACTCTATTCTTTAGATGTCAAAAGTCAATCCATTTCTTTCTTTAACACATACTCCTTAAATATGCATTTTAAAATCTATATTGAAGTTTACGAAATTCAACTTAAATCATAAAAAAAATTGTTTAGTAAAGTTTCTTCTTCTTTAATGAATTGCAAAAGACAAATTCAAATAATCCTCTAATTGATGATGGGATACATGTATGTTAAGAGATCATAGAATACATTATTAATTGTAATGCATTGTAATTGAATTATTTTGTTTCCAGTTTTATTGTTTACAATGGCATCATCGACACCCGTGTGTGGTGTATGTGATCAAAGTAATATTACCAAACCATCCATAATCTGGTGTTTTGAATGTGACGAAGGGCTTTGTTCAGAATGCAAAGATCACCACAGTAGGTCAAAGGGAACACGAAAACATTACACCGTACTAATAAGTGAATACCAGGAAATACCAAGTGACATTGTCAAAATCACTCAAACCTGTGGCAAACATAATGAGAAGTACACATTTTATTGCAAAAAGCATGAAAGTCTTTGCTGTGGTAGTTGCATTGTAGAAAATCATATGGAATGTCGAGACTTCGACAAGTTGGCTGATGTAATTCAAAACACTAAACTTTCGAATGCCTTTTACGAAATAGAACAATTATTAGTAGAACTTTCCGACAATATTCAAATTATTCGAAATGATAGAGAACACAACTTGAAGAGGTTATCCGAAAAGAAAATGCAAATTGAACAAGAAGTGAAACAAACAAGGATTACAATCAACAACCATTTAGACAAAATACAAGACGACATTATGAAAAAGTTAAATGAAACCGAAGCAAATGAAAATAAGATAATTAGCGAACTACTGAACTTATTGAAGGAAAATGAAAGAGAGATAATTGAATTCCGAACAAACATTGAAAATATCAAGCAACATGCTACAGATCTACAGACATTTATTTCTATGAAGGAGCTAGAAAAAAATGTCTCAATCAAAGACGAATTCCTGCAGTCTGTGATTAACAGCGAAAAGTTTAAAGACCGCGAACTGTCGTACAATACAAATTCCGCCATGCAAGATTTAGTTAATCGTATCAAGAACTTTGGAGAAGTAAAGATTGAGAAAAAACCATGCGATGTAGTCCTCACAAGGAGGAAAGACAAACAAGCCCAAATAATGCTTCTGCACATATCATCCAGGTCAGTCGACAATATTAATTTGAAGCTGCTTCAAACTATAAATACAACAGGAAAGAACATTACGGGTTGTTGCATGTTACCAGATGGTAAAATGGCGTTTTTGTCTTACTTTGGTGGAGCTGTAAGAGTATTCAACCTAGACGGCACCAACGACTTTGAATTGATTACACCGACATTTGCATTCGACATAGCCTACATCAGTCACGACAACACACTTGCTGTAACATCAGGCGAGTCAGGTAGGAAATGTATCACAATCATCGACATACAAAACAAACAAATCAAGAAAACAATACCAGTTGATTCTCAATATTATGGCATAGCAGTGACAGATGGCAAATTCATTTGTTCTGCTGAAGGAAAAGGAATTCAACTGATCAATCCGCACAACAACTCAACAATTGATATAGTCCGCGATAAAATACCAGCGTGCTGTTACGTGGCAATATTTGGTGACAAAATGTACCATACAAATAACCAATCAAACAACGTTACATGTTATGATCTACAAGGTACAGAACAATGGAAATTTAAGAATGAAAAAGTCCTCAGGGGTCTGAGTGGTATAACTGTCGACAATGATAGTAATGTATACGTAGTAGGAGAATATTCGAAAAAAGTAGTAGTTATATCTTCTGATGGACAACAATACAAAGAGTTAGCCAGTGATGGTCTTTCCCATCCTGTGTCTATTGATTATAACAGAACTACAAATCAATTACTGGTTTCGAATTTTTACGACAAGGCATTTACTTTTACTTTGATTTGAATATTTATCATTTAAGCTGCCAAATGATTTTATTTACACCACCGAAGTTGTAATAGAAGCATGGAAAATCGTTATTGTAATAGTTTTTTTCAAACTCTTTTAATTGTTTGTCTAATGATCATTGATGTTCTCATACCGAGATATATAGTCTAGTTTAGATATACTGTTTAACTAATTAAATTACTTAATAGAATAAATATCATTTATACTAAGTTTCTCATGAATTTTTGTATGAACCAAGTCAGAGCTTGACCGCCCTACACGCTTGTTATGCTTAAAAAGAAAAATGAGATCTACAGTATTTAGATAACAACTCATGTTTCTTGTGTATTTTTAAAATACTGCATGCAGTTTTGTATGAAGCAACTCGTAACTTTGAACACTGCATCTTTTTTTTTTTCATTTGATAATAACTCACATGTATCTTTATAAAAAATAAAGAAATGTCGTATGGATGTAAGCATTTACAGGCAACCGTTCGGCCTTCGAAAATCAGAAAAACCCACACCATATATAAAAGGCCCCGACATGAACAATATGGAACCATTCACATTCAATTGAGAAAACTAGCGGTCTGAATTATAACAAAACAATTTACAAAAAACAACTATGACAGAGATGAGCCAACGACAAAAACTGAACCACAAGCTCCTGACTTGGGACGGACACATACCAAAAATAGCGGTGTTAAACATGTTTAAAGGCGCCAACCCTCCTCCTAACCTGGGACAGTGGTGTAATATAATAACATTAGAACACACTATAAAAATCAGTTGAAAAGGGCGTAATTCATAACATCGATACAAAGCAGAAAAAAATCTAACGAAACACAGACCGGACTCAGCAGGGTAATTATACATCCCTTACAACAAAAAAGACACACGCTATCTGAGACAACTAGCAGTTACTGACGGCTAGTTCAGAGCCAATAACAACTAATAAAAAATCCTGTATCTAAGACTAATACATCAATCAAGTACACATCAAATATCCAATTGATTTAGTGTAAAGACGTCATTAACAGTCAGAGAAAATATGGCCGTGTGAAATGCCAAAACATAGGTATCAATAGATTATAGTACCGTGAAAGTGCATATGTGTATACCAATAATATTTAGTATTGTTTTAATTTACTGATAACAGAATCAATATTTATACAAATAAAAACAATATTCAAAGATCTAATTACAGTATTAAATTGGTAAACCAGTGATACATAGATTATGCTAATTGAAATCTAAAAGGTCACTACAGACACGGGCATAGCGAACGAGTTGGAGATAAATGAACATCGTAAGACGGTGTCAAAGGAATATCACCTTCCTCAAAAGTTTTTTTTACATAAATGTGTACATCAACCGAAACTCCTTATCACTGTTAAATATATTACGCAATCAAAGGTATCAGATAGAATTGATATACGTGCTTAAAAAAGAGAAGTTCTTTAAAAATTACCGATGACAGCTGCAGTTATTCCTTAAGCATAATTACGGTATAATTATCAACGAATAATAATATAAGGCGGAATAAAAGGATATGTGAGGTTTCAGTCAATGAGATATCAACCTAAACTATAGATAAAATAAAAGGCATCTTGAGGCCAACATAACCAAGTGTCTATCCGATATATCAAGCATTAAATTGTCCAGAGACTACAAAATCAGAGAATATCAAAGATCATTCATAACTACATCTTTGTATAATGAGGTATTTTCTTGAATCTTACTTATTGTCAACACGGAGTATAATAGAAAAGAACACATCTGGAGTATCCATCCAGGACACAAAATCAGACCTTGCAAAACAAAAAACACAAAAGCAAAGGAACAACGCTTTTATTGCTGTTCTTCATCTCCAAGATACAGTAAGACTTCGGCATGGAGCAAAACTTTTACCTCACTGCAAGTTTAAGACGGCCCTTAACACCGGTTTGAGCGGAGTTGGTCGCGGTATAAGTATACTATCTCGATTGTATCTACTATCCAGTATGCTGACTGAACACTTACAGACAGATAAAAGGTAGGATTTTTGTTCTTATTTGTTATTTGCATGCGATTGTAGACTATTAATACATATGTTACTACTTTTCGATTGTGAGATGTTGAACTTTCTACAACCTTTCTAGATTAATGGAGAAAACGTTAAAATGCACGGCAAATAATGAATATAGTGACCCTTAGCCCGAATTTGTTTAAACTTTAATTAAATTATACACATTGTATGGAAAGAAACATATGGAAATAAAGATATATACATGGAGATTGCAAGATAAGTAATTTGTTCGACCAAAAATATTTGTTTTTCTATGCATGGAGCTAAATCATTATTATAACGTTCATTTTTACTTATTTATTTATTAATCTAGAACGGATGTAGAAAGTATAACACCTCACAATCTAAAATAGTAATATGTTTATTTATTATCGAGTCGATACATTTTTACCGTAGTAGTTTAAACACAATTAAAGAGATAGTTTCTCTTTGTGTTCACACGGAGGTAAAGCGAAGACTACTAATCACCTACTTGAGGTCCCTTTAGCAAGAGAAAGATAGAAATTACTAAAACAGCTTCAGCTGAATTTTGTATGACTGGTGACTTGGAAAATTGGTACCTGAATTGCTCTTAAACTTTTAAGTGTATTTTTAACTTTCAGATGTTTAAAAATACCATTTGGACGTTTTAGTACTTTCTTATATATAAAGTAGTCTTAAACTACATGTCTTGTGCACAGAAAGCTAATTGTATACCTATACGGTGGTCGAGTGCTATAAGTAGTCTAACTACTGTATCACTAGCTTTTTAACACTGAGTTTGTGAGTTCGGATTCCGCACGTGGCAGATGCGCTCGACTCCAATCTTATATGAATTGGATTGTCAGTCTTCCTACCGAAGGTTGGAGGTTCTCTCCGAGCACTCCGGCTTCCACCACCAATAGAAACTCAAGGCCACGAAATAGCACAATAGTGCTGAAAGTGGCGTTGAACACTAATCAATCAATCAATCAATAAACCTCTTGCCAGACATTTAAAATGGTTCTGATCGTTCGTTAGTGATTCTCTCTTCCCACCAAAGACCTTTATATTATTTGAAGGTTTCCTGTTTAAGGTACAGTAGAAAATATTTCAGCATATTAAGCACGAAAGCAAACTGACAATTGATGCAATTGGTGGCTTCTGCAAAAGAGAGAAGAAAGACACCAGAGGGACATTCAAACTGAGAAATCGAAAACAAACTGACTACAAAGTTAGTCTACCAGGATGAATGAACTAGAGTTTATACTGACACTTAAAACAATTTTCAAGGGTTCTTAATCGCGTAACCAAATCTCACATGTGGCACAATTCATCCAATGTATCGTTCCTAGAAGTGGTAACGTATTTATTCATCACGCACAGTCAACCAGAGGTCCAACTATTACAATGTTTTACTGCTGGACGCGAGAAGAAAAAGGATAAAATTATTTCTATTTGCAATTCAAAATGATTTGAGCGACATAAAGAAATAGTTTTGATCTTTTGATAATTGTCTGATTATTATTTCTTTCTATTCATTCACTATTGGATCTTGTGATTTTTTGTACATGATATTGTACAGTCAATCCTATTACGCTTCACTGTTGCCTCTTCGTAAATGCACACTTCTTCTAGTGGATTAGTCTTTGGCTTTGTTCTTTTTTTTCTCTTAACAATTAGTGCAACTTAGTGGCTTCTGCAAAGTTGGCCTATCAGGATGAATTGTGATATCTAGTTTTTTTTACTGACACTGGAAAATGACGTAATGGTAGATAGAGGGGATGACTTTTGCCCTGAAACACGACTGGAACTTTCCCATCAAACAGTTTTACACGGGTTCTTAAACACGTTACCAGATCTTACACGTGGCACAAGTCATCCGATGTACCGTCCGTTCAGGCGGAAATGTATTTATACATCACGCGCAGCAAAACAGAAGCCCAATTTTTCAGTATTTTTAATGTCGGACGCGAGATATAAAAGAATGACCTCATTTCTATTTTCCAAGTCATAATGGTTTGAACGCCATTAAGAAATAGTTTTGACCTTTAATGTTTGTCTGATTATTATTTTTTTTTTCATCACTATTGATTCTTGTTCTCGCTGTTGCGTCTTAGTAAATGAACATTTCATATCTTCTAAGGGGAATATACTTTGGTTTGAACCTTATTTTATGTTAACAGTGGAGACGTTGGTTTGTGATTTCTTATCCGTTAATAAGAAAAATGTCATAAAGTAGTTTTTTTAAGGCAATCGCTATATCCCATGGAATCTTTGGTTGATTTGTACCACTGCGATTTGGGACAGCGACATCTTTTAGTAGTATTCCCTCCTTAAATAGTGAACATATTTTTTGTCTCAAATAAGAATCAAATAAGAAAAGAAAAAAAAATGCTTTTGATGTTTTAGCGATGGATTTGACAGTAGTGGAAAGGAACTTGCAAGGAATAAGAAATCAAACAAGGACATTGGAATTTGCAAGCGAATATACTGCAAAAAGAATATCGCCTAATACTTATTACTCTGAACAAGTTTGCAAAATAAATCAAATCAATAATAAATGAGTCAAAATACCCAGTATACAGCCATGTCTTCTAATACAAATTTAATTTGGTGTTCGATATGCTTGTAATATTAGCCAAATATCAAGATCAAAAGAGATTAACTTCAACGAGAAATGCACACGAGATACAAATCAAGTGTATCCCATTCACGGAGTAGAAGGAGGTGTTCCCTTTGTCTAATGCGTGGTATATAAGTACATAACGTTATCAAATGCAATCCATATTATGTTATACCACAGAAAAAAAATTGTAGCAATAACTTAAAATACTATTGAAAAATACTTCAGTATTGGTCTTAATCTTTGTACTTACGAATATAAACTAATTGCCGGAACCATAATGATCCCTTCCACTTGTCCTCGAATGTATTAACATCACCAAATTATACTTATCACCAAATTTGTACTTAGATCACCATCTTAAGTGTATTTCTCCGCTGTTAATAAAAAATAAACAAAAATTGCTGACCTCTGGCTTTAATACTATGGTCGACTATGAGAACCTCTAAGTATGGCAAAATGGCAAACGTTACATTGAACTAAGTGACATACCGGGCACCCCAATCCCCATCCTATACTGACATCTTCGTGTGGTACTGTGTATAGTAGAGATCATTCAACCTGCAATTGTGATATCTT